TGGTCTCGATAGATATATCGCATGGAAACCAACTCTAAATAAATATAATAGTTGAGAATTTAAATTAATGAACCGGCTAACATCTGGATTGAATACACGCCATATCCGCCCCCAGTCACCGTTGAACTACATTCCAAAGTATTTACAATAAATAAGTACAAAATTATAACACGTTGACTGCCACAGTATATAAGAACTGGCCAAAATGTCAATTAGTTTTAATCCATCTTCAGGTTTACTCAAATAATACTTCTTATTATAATCAAATAGTTCGAATGTGTCGCCAATACAATGAAATTCTTGTCTCCAATACAAATATAGATATTTCTCATTCAACGCTGGTCCAGTTCCGGAGACAATTAAATTTCCACCGCAAAGAGACAAATTATATTTAACATTGTACCAATTTTCTTTTCTTTAGTATAAATAAAATTCTGTTAATATGATAATTCATTGCATTACGTAGTTATATATCATTTTCTGTTTAGTTTATTTTTCATTATATAACCTTATCTAGCGTATATTGAATGCGTCTATATAATTTAGCTCTTAGGCATACATAGTGTTGGATTACAAACCAGTTTTGTATTGAACTACACGCTCCTAGTTATATTATTATATTGACTGTAATCTGTTTTGTATGCTAATAAACAAACAAATAAATAAATCATAGTAGGTATATTCTAGAATTATAATTTCTGATATACAGATAGACATTTTGATTTTACAAAATATAATAAGAGTATAGTAATAATAGTAAATTTACTTAATTTACCCTATCAAAAACAACTCGAATTCTACTGTATAGTTTATCCAAAACCATAAAAATATTTATTTTTAATTCCATTAACTACAATATAATATTTTTCTTGAATTTGAGTTATAATTTTTATAAATTCTAAGCAATAAGTATTCTACTGTATAGTTTATCCAAAACCATAAATATATATATTTTTTTAATTCCATAAACAAAAAAAAATTTTTTTTCTCTTAATTTTTTTAATATATTTTAAGATATCATATAAGTAAATTCAGTATGATTTAACTCGTAGTTGGCGTCCTAGAGAAAAATACGATCTACGAGTTGTCTCTTAGTTGGCAGTCAACGTGCTAACAAACCGCGACGGAAACATACGGCGCGACGGATGGCGCTCGCCGCAAATTTATCTGTGGTTGCATTGTAACCGTCAATGAGTGAGTTGTTCCATCACAAGACATTTAATATTAAACGGGCCTTTTTTTGGCAGGCAGCTGATGTAATAAGGAGTAACTTAGGCTACTATTATTTTAGAAAAATAAGTTAAAATCCACTCCGACGAAGTCGTGGGTACAGCTTGTGTACAATAAATCTATTTTAAGATTGATTTTAAAAAAGTCGGTCGAGTTTCTTATGATAACTCTAAAAATGTGTAAAATTATTAAATTATTTTTATATTATTGTTTGTAATTTTCATAAAATGCATATATATATACGGTACTTAAATAAAATAAAATAATTTTTAAAAATTCTGTTTGTTCTTCCTAATCTCTGAAACTGTTTTGAAAGGACTCACTTGTAGATAGCTAAAGTTATACGATTTCATTAGTAACATCGGCGAGAGGGACGTAGCTCCGTATATCTCCGAAGCGCTAAATAATATTAGTAAATATATAATTAACATAATCCTTACATAAATAATTGGGTTTAGTTACAAAAATATATGACAAACATACCGAAGTAAAACATATTGAAAGTCACTGCCGATTTGTTTTAATTTATAACCAAACATTAAACAGTACCATATAAAACAAACCTAAGCTAAGGTTGATGTTGGTAGGCAGTCGGCCGGCCGTCAGCCCCGGCCTGTACCACACCTTTTTTTTATAGCATAGGTGCCAAACGAGCTTGCGGCTCACCTGATGCTTTCAGGCAACACCAGAGGAATTGCAAGTGCGTTGCCGGCCTTTTACGGAATAAGCTCTTTTCTTGAAAGTTTCAATATCGTATCGGGACTACCATCGCTGGAAGGTGACCACAATGTTGTGCGTGTAAGTTTCTAGAAAACCGCACTGTGGCGGACCGCCATTCATCCAGATGATCAGGATGGTATTTCAGTTTCTGGCGGGTGGTACGGTGGAGAAACTCAGCAGCTGGTATTAATCCGAACAATTCCTCAGAACACTCCCCGTGATATATGCGGTAGAGAATGCATAGAGATGCAATGAGAAACACTTACCGCTACTGTCGTTTTATTTACTTCATAATTATCTACCATGATGTACGAGCTATAGTCTGTACCTTGAAAAATCTTTCACTTTGTTTTATCGAATTTGGTGTTGTTTTGCGGTCAATTTAATTAATTAATTTATATTATTTTGTTTAATTCCGCTATAATTAGCATCTGTGAGACCACAAATATTCAGTGCGGAAACCTGTTACGGCCGTTTATGATTGATGATGCCTCATACAGAGAAGTATCACGTGTATGTATGGGTACAGACTTAATAACAGTAGTGGAGTTATTTGCACTTTATTTATTATACGTAAAATAAGGAAAATCACTGGGATCTTACCACTTGGCGTGCGTGGTGGTGCGCCACGTGGCCTTGCATGTGTCTCAAATCAACTCAAATCTCAAAGCAACAAAGCTGACGCTTGCCGACTGCGTACGCAACATCCGGCACACCTCACCTCCATTACAGTGCACTCGTAAATAAATGCACATCAACTGCATCGTAATCATTTATTGCGATCGGATACACCACGTGTGATTATCAAATACAAAATACTTTACTATTTAGTATAAACTCTGGCCGCTCAGAGTTTGCGTTTCTGACAGCTCGGGCTCGACCAATTGTTTGTTTTTGTAGATGTGACTAAATAACCTTGAAACAGCGCAGTTTGATGTGGTACGACTTTTAAAACTATTTTTTTTTTAATTATAATATTTATTTATTGGAACTTCAAAATAATATTTTACAAAGTAGGGTAGTGTACTATAACAACCACATTAGTACTTTATTAATACTTAGTCGTGGCCGTCAAAGCCCTATTGTTTTTATATTTGTTAAGTAGTTAATAATTTCAACCCAATGATAATACTGTAGGAGTGCTACGATGTGTGTGTGCATCATTACATAGTATAAAACAAAGTCGCTGTTGCTGTCTGTCCGTCCCTATGTATGCTTAAATCTTTAAAACTACACAACGGATTTTGAACCGGTTTTTTTTAATAGACAGGAGTGTTTCAAGAGGATGGTTTATATGTATAATATATACAACCGTGCGACGCCGGGGTGGGTAGCTAGTACAGTATAAATACGAGGACGATCAAATTACATGGCGTTGCATAGCACATCTATTGCACGTCCCTCCCCAGTCTTGTATATCATGTAGCACAGAAATAGCGTATTATAAAAGTGATAAAGTCTCCTGAATTATTATTTCATGAAGCTCACAGACACCACACCCGAACACGCTATATATATATGTTTATTGTAAACTGGAATAATTATTAAATTTATAATGTTTTCACTCGTTAATAAGATAAATAGATAAAAAAATTGCCATAAATTGTACGTCAGTTCAAAGTTACATCGTCCATTCGACCCGACCTGTCTGAAACGCAAACTCTGAGCGGGCGGACTGTAGGAGAGGTATCTCGGGGCTAATCTAGGATTCATAGTTAGTGTATGCGGCGCATATCAACTATTTACAATCACATGAAGTTTAGTTACACAATGATTATATACTGATTACAAGCGAACGTCCGCAAGCGTGGCGGTGCGCGGCCGGGCATCGAACTCCCTGTTCGTCGCCGCCACACTCGCCGACGTGATATACGTAACAATTTCTACGTCGAGTCTAACTATATATAGGATAAAATTAAACATTGAAGTGTGAGTTCCGATATTTTTATTATTAAAAAAATAATAATAACGAATGACTTATAAGTATTTCGGATACACCGTGTGCTCTCACCGCGAGCCGCCACTACACGAATTTACACAAAGGGCTCGACGCTTAAATTACGGCATAAATTAACTTACGATACAAACGAACGTCTGCGGCGTACGCACTTAATGTAAAACATACAAAATATGTATAAAATCACAAAATAACTCAGTGACCGCAGGCAGTGACGTCACACACGCCACGCACTGCCGCGCCCGCCACGTGCACGCCCACGTGGGCGCACACGTGGCTTTTATCAATTTTGCTCTCGCGTTTTAGCATTTCAATTCGCTCTCGTGTTTAATGTTTGAAGGCAATCTAATACTCTATTTCATGACATGATTTGTGGACATATGTCGTAATAATGTGAGCGATTCGAATTGAAATACCAAATCTGATGGTATACAATGTTAGGTCAGTGACTCGTCCATTTAAACGGCTGACTGGTATATGTCAATTTCGGGTAGAAATCAGTTCGGTCAAAATGTATCGGCGTTTACAAACGATCGACACGTCCGAATACTGTACTGCGGCGGCCGCGACCGTCACCACCACAGTGTCACCGTGACCGTCAGTGTGACCGTCACACGGCCACAGCCGCGGCCGCGCCGCTAACAAAAATTATTAATTTACTATCTAACTACTTAAATGAAATAAGAGAAAGCGATATGCGAAGCGTGTTAAATATAAGGTGGAGTCGCCGCGTGCTGCTCGCTTCCTCCCGCGCCCGCCGCCCCCCGCGCCCCCGGACGGGGCTCCCACACCAAATAAATTCATATAAAAAAAAACAAAGATAAGTATCTACATGTTGTTAACGAAACACTGCGATTTAGTGTGGCGGCCCCGGGGGGCTGCGGGGGGCGCGCGCTGCGGGGTCGGGGGGCACGGGGGGCACGGGGGGGGACGGCCCGCACGCACCTGCACAACGAAAAACAACGCATTATAATTGATATACTCGCTAACAAAATCGAAATTACAAATATATTACCTTTTTTTATGAATTTGAGTGACCTGTGTAAAATCTGCAGTCTGCAGTGGGGAGTGGGAAGGTGAACTGGCTCCGTACATGGGGGCGGGCGGCGGGGGGTCGTACCTGGGGGCCCCGCTAGCGGCGGTAGGCGGCGCGCGGCTGGAAGCGCGCGGTTACAAATATATTTTTTTTTATGGGGGCCCCGCTAATTTGAAGCGGGCGGCGGGGGGCGGGGGCGGGCGGCGGGGGCGGGGGTCGTACCTGGGGGCCCCGCTAGCGGCGGTGGCGCGCGGCTGGACAGCGGGCGGCGGGGGCGGGGGTCGTAAGCGGCGGTAGGCGGCGCGCGGCTGGATGCGTGGACAGCGGGCGGCGGGGGGCGGGGGGCGGGGGGTCGTACCTGGGGGCCCCGCTAGCGGCGGTAGGCGGCGCGCGGCTGGAAGGCGGCGCGGTGCGTGGACAGCGGGCGGCGGGCGGCGGGGGGTCGTACCTGGGGGCCCCGCTAGCGGCGGTAGGCGGCGCGCGGCTGGAAGGCGGCGCGGTGCGTGGACAGCGGGCGGCGGGGGGCGGGGGGCGGGGGGTCGTACCTGGGGGCCCCGCTAGCGGCGGTAGGCGGCGCGCGGCTGGAAGGCGGCGCGGTGCGTGGACAGCGGGCGGCGGGCGGCGGGGGGTCGTACCTGGGGGCCCCGCTAGCGGCGGTAGGCGGCGCGCGGCTGGAAGGCGGCGCGGTGCGTGGACAGCGGGCGGCGGGGGGCGGGGGGCCGGGGGGTCGTACCTGGGGGCCCCGCTAGCGGCGGTAGGCGGCGCGCGGCTGGACGGCGGCGCGGTGCGTGGACAGCGGGCGGCGGGCGGCGGGGGTCGTAGGGGGCCCCGCTGCGGCGGTAACGGCGCGGTGCGTGGACAGCGGGCGGCGGGGGCGGGGGTCGTACCTGGGGGCCCCGCTAGCGGCGGTAGGCGGCGCGCGGCTGGAAGGCGGGGCGGTGCGTGGACTGCGGGCGGGGGGGGGCGGGGGGTCGTACCTGGGGGCCCCGCTAGCGGCGGTAGGCGGCGCGCGGCTGGAAGGCGGCGCGGTGCGTGGACAGCGGGCGGCGGGCGGCGGGGGGCGGGGGGGGCGTACCGGGGGGCCCCGCTAGCGGCGGTAGGCGGCGCGCGGCTGGAAGGCGGCGCGGTGCGTGGACAGCGGGCGGCGGGGGGCGGGGGGCGGGGGGTCGTACCTGGGGGCCCCGCTAGCGGCGGTAGGCGGCGCGCGGCTGGAAGGCGGCGCGGTGCGTGGAGCGGGGGCGGGGGCGGGGGTCGTACCTGGGGGCCCCGCTAGCGGCGGCGCGCGGCGTGGACAGCGGGCGGCGGGCGGCGGGGGGTCGTACCTGGGGGCCCCGCTAGCGGCGGTAGGCGGCGCGCGGCTGGAAGGCGGCGCGGTGCGTGGACAGCGGGCGGCGGGGGGCGGGGGGCGGGGGGTCGTACCTGGGGGCCCTAGGCGGCGGGCGGTAGGCGCTAGCGGCGGGTGCGTGGACAGGGGCGGCGGGCGGCGGGGGCGGCGCGCGGCGCGCGGCTGGAAGGCGGCGCGGTGCGTGGACAGCGGGCGGCGGGGGGCGGGGGGGGGGGCCCCGGCGGGGCTGGAAGCGCGGCGCGGTGCGTGGACAGCGGGCGGCGGGGGGGGGGGGTCCCCGCTAGCGGCGGTAGGCGGCGCGCGGCTGGAAGGCGGCGCGGTGCGTGGACAGCGGGCGGCGGGGGGCGGGGGGCGGGGGGTCGTACCTGGGGGCCCCGCTAGCGGCGGTAGGCGGCGCGCGGCTGGAAGGCGGCGCGGTGCGTGGACAGCGGGCGGCGGCGCGGCGGTTCTCGTCCGCGCGCCTTCTTCTCCTCCACGTTCAGCTTCACGCCGTCCGCGCTGTCCGGCGGGAAGAACAGCGGCTGTAACATTCCATTATCATCCATTAAAAAAAAGTCACAGACTAGACCACTCAGAGCATCAAAAATGCCCCCACCGACATGCCTACAAACGAATAAATAAGGAGTAGTGTAGGTACCGCTGCGTGGAGGCAGTCCTGCGCGGCCTGCGGCGTCTCGTAGGTGATGAACCCGTAGTTGGGGTGGTGTCCGCCGGGCTTGCCGTGCACCCGCAGCTCTGCGACGGGCCCGAACCGTGCGAACAGCGCGCGCAGCGCCTCCTCGGTGGCGCTGTGCGGCAGGTTGCCCAGGAACAGCTGCTGCGAGTCGGAGTAGCGCCGCGCGCCCCCCGCGCCGCCGCCCGCCTCCGCTGCACACACACACACACGCGCACACGTCGGGGGACGCCCACACAGACACACTCCCCCTCGGTGACACCGCGACACGTCATGGGTCGTTGAACCTTAATGATACGTGGTGACACTACAGTGGCCGTCCGTACCTATATTACCCTCCTAGTAACATGGTAACACTACCCGTGTGTTGGAAAGGGTAAAGTCACATGGGGAAAGGTCTATACCACCCCTGCTCCCCTCGGATATAAGCAGTGACACCACGCCACGTGAGGGGCTGTCCATCCACCTCTCTCTTGGTAATACGTGATGACACCGTGCCACATAGGAAGCCGTCATTATACACCCTTTCATTTTACCATTTTTTTTATATTCATCACTTCAAGAAAAACAATACATATATTGTGTTCATTTATACAGGGTGTATTGTTTTTATTTAAAACGGGATGTACTTGTAATATTATATGATTTTTGCTTAGGCTTTTCAGATTTCACGTGAATAATGTTCATAAACCACATTTTCTAGTCTAAATATTATTACGATGATTCCGGTAAGTTCTAAATATTATTACGATGATCAGTGCTCTCTGATATGATGAATTTCATAATATTTATATTATTTAAAGTTTTTGTTGTAAATAACTAATTAAGTTAGTAACTTATGAGCCACTTAATGAGATGTTTTAGATGTCTGAATAATTGATATTATCGAGATTCTAGTCTATAATAGACATGAACATATCCCATACACTGTTATCATTATTGTATGCCATCGTGGTATAAAAAAAAATTTTGTTTGCCATTCTTTATTCTACAGATTATGTACAAAAGGAAAGATGAATTAGAAAATAAATGGGTACAATAGCGAACTTATCCCAAACTGATCTATAGGGGGGAAGGGGACTGTGGACTATGGGACACAGTCACCTAGATACATCAAAATAATAATTGCATTTAATAATGTCTAGTAAGACAAATCCAATGTTGTGTACTAAGCACTGCTGTGTCTAAACTGTGTCACCGCACCTTACATTTTCCTATTGTTATTTAGTATATAAGATCATTATTTCTACGTACATATTGTCAGTTTATTATCATCTGTAATATACATCGTCTCGACCAACAACATCGTATCATTCACCCGCAACATGGACTGATAATCTTATTGCTAGCAATGTACCATGTCAGGTTGATCAATGGTTCCCCCTGGAAACCATTGTGATAAATTCTTGGTGAATTTGTCATGATGGGCTAACTGACCTGACCTCATATACATATATCATCCTCCACTGGTGCCCCGCCAGCGTAAACCATTAGCGCAGGCGGGTGCACCATTCCATTATAATAAAAAAAAACCATTCCTTATTTCTTCTTATGAAACCGTATAATTACCACGTATTAGATTCTGAATAAAAAATCATCTATTCAAAAGAGCAACACACAAGTTACTTGCTCATTCTTGTTGTTCCGTATTCCGAAACTCCTTAGTCTAAGCAGGTTGTATCACCGGGTTGCTTACTGAACCAAAGGGCGCTCGGTAATACTGGCCACATATAAAAACATGTGGCCACTTAAATTTCAAAAAAACAATAATAAAACAATTGAAAATAAGAACTGGAATTAAAAGGACACTCCGTATTTTTATCTATATAAAACAAGATAATTAATGATTTATTTAACACATTATAATTGTTTTTGATGAAAATATACACTGTAGAGTGCGTGGCCACTAAACAGTACTACACATCGGGACGTTACTGAGCAAAGGTGAGTAAGTTTGGTGTTACATTGCTTACTTTGGGGTGTTCGGAGTGTGGAGGACGTTCTTCCAGGTCAAATCGTATTTTTACTTCCTTTTCCATTAATTATTTTCTTTTCAATAAATACAGTCCACTCTCTCTTTTATATATTAATTTATAAGGATTCGTAATTCAACACTTGTGATGAATCTGCGTTCCGAATGAGTGGTAGAACAAAAAATGTGACTATTCAAAAGTGCTTGTATGAACACATTATGAGTGGGGCAGCTATTTGTACCCGTTCCGAGGATTGTCACTTATTAGTGGGACAGATACTAAAACTCATTACGCTCATTGCCGTTTAAAAGTGGGGAATGTATTACTACCCTTTTAAAATAAATCATTTAAAGAGACACAAGGAAAATATATATATACATATCAGTTACACCGCCTTACTACCGATGGTCGCGGGTTCGATTCCTCGCACGGCACAAACATTTGTATTCATGAGTATGATTGTTTGTATCGGTCTGGGTGTCTTCTATGTATAATATGTATGTATTTACAAAAAAAAATATCTATGTATGTATGTATCAGTTGTCTAGTACCCATAACACAAGCTTTAGCTAGCTTAACTTGGGTCTAGATGGCGCTGTGTGAATTGTCCTGAGATTATTATTATTATATCATAGTATAAAACAAAGTCTCTGTCAGTCTGTCCTTATGTATGCTTAAATCTTTAAAACTACGCAACGGATTTTGAAGCGGTTTTTTTAATAGATAGAGTGATTCAAGAGGAAGGTTTATATATATGCGTGTTATAGTATAGAACAAGCCTAGAAATTCAAAGATTTGTAATACCTGCCTCGTTCATAATGTGTTCAGTTTACTTGATGAGACAGCATTCCGAATGAGCGGTAGATTAAAAAAAAATGTTATGACTATTCAAAAGTGCTTCAATGTAAGTTTATTTGAATAAATGATTTTCTATTCTATTCTTGAACAAACATTATTTCTATTTCTATATCTGGCGACGTGATACATGCGTATTAGTATGTTAGTATGGTAGTATTTACATTTAGAAATACCGATATCCGGGTAGACGCGTGCGGGGCGCGGGCGCTGGTCTAGTGCCGCGGGCGCGGGGCCCGGCGGGGCGGCGGGGCCCGAGGGCGCGGGCCCGGGGCCCGGCGCGGGGCCCGCGGGGGGCGCGGCGCCGCCGCCGGACCCCGACTTCAGCAGGTTCGCGTACGTCTTCGGCTCGGGCGCCGCCGCCGGCACCGCTACGACAATACGTTTTTTTTAATGAGTAATGGGGGCTGCCGGACAACCAGCGCTGTATAGGTGCACCTCATTGAGGTTGTACTTGTGATATAGTGATGCATTTCAGCAGGTAGGGTAAGATTGTGCCAGTGTACGTTGGATAAGTAACTTTATCTACCGTCAGATAGTCATACAGTGGTTAATATATATATATAAAGAAATTCTTTATAATAATATAATTAAATATTTCAACAATTAAAATTTTGGCGCGTTCAGCGCTGTTGATTGCAAGGAGTGTCAAAGGGAGCTGTCAATAGAAACAACATAAAAATGGATCGTGCAAAAACAAGTGTGCGTGAATAAGTTTATATAACATATATTATAAAAAGACAGTAATAGTTCTTTTAAGAAAAAGGTAAAATCATATTACCTCTCTACTGCTATGTGATTAGTGTCATCATTGTATATATATCTTTGTAGTATTTATTGTTTGATTTAGTATATATTTATGGTTATCATATATTTATTATAAATGTAATTTTTTTGTTTATGTATTCAAGTACATATTATATATTAATATATATATTTTTTTTTATCTTTATGTATATTTTATTAGTATCTGTATTTTGGACATTATATTTTTATGTTTAGTTTTAATTATTTTGACATTTTCATAAAAAATATAATTTGCACATTTTAACCCACTCAACACTTCCTATGCCACGCTCTATTGGGTTGACTGGAAGAGATCTCTTTTAGAGATAAGTCCTCCTTTGTTAACATTAGCTGTAATTAATATACTTACAAATGTATTTAAGTGCAATAAAGAATATTTATAGTTGAATAATAATTGTAATAAACTTTAAATGTCGTTTCTTTGTTTACAGGTGAGTTATATGTGTGATTCATTATTTCAGTGTTAAATAATTGTAGTGTTTTAAAATTAAATAAAACATTTCTTTGTTTACAGAGAAACTAATTTTAGTTTATTTTATAAAGAAACCCTGAAAATATCATTATATATATAATTTTAGTAACTAGTGTAAAGTAGAGTAAATCAAATGTAACAGTTAATATACAAGTTCCACCCTACTGTGTTACTCTCACCACCGCTCCTGCCATCACATACTTAAGCAACAGTTGAGGTCGCTTTTATTTTCAACTTTCTATGTTATTTTTTATTTCTTCCTAGCTGTACCCACGGTTATGTCCGCTTGGAATTAAATCTTATTTTTCTAAAATAAAAGTAAGCCTAAGTTACTCCTTATTACATTAGTTACCTGCCAAAAAAAAGTCCCGTCAAAATCGGTCCAACCATTTCAGAGATTAGCCGGAACAAACAGACAGACAGACAAAAATTGTTTAAAATGTTATTTTGGTGTATGTACCGTATTTATATTCATATGCATGTAGTAAAAAACGGTTATTTCAATATTACAAACAGACTACTCTAATTTTATTTATATGTATAGATGTGAAAATAGGGATGTTTGTTACACTTTTACGCAAAAACTACTGAACTGATCATCATGAAATTTTATACACATATTCTTGACGGTAGGAGAGAAATCCTGACTGTAAGGCTCGCTTAGTTTTGATGTCAATGAATAAATAAATGCCATAGAGGAAGATCATCCGAGTCCCCTCTCATACTGACGAGGTATCTTGTGAGTTTGATTTGATGCGTGTGAAATTGCGGGCACAACTAGTTAAAGCATAATGTTGAGAGTGGCGCGTACCAGGTTGTGGTGGCGGAGAAGGCTCCCGTTCTCGTTCGGGCTCTCGCTCGGGCTCGGGCACAGGCTCGGGCGCTGCCACCGCGCTCGGTTCAGGCTCCAGTTCGCGCTCAACCACGCCGCTCGGCAAGCTCGCAGCTGGAACTAAACATTGTTATGTGTCACATCACTCACAACTCGACGGACTCGGTGGTGTGGCGGCTGACGACCGATTAATGTACAAATTTTTTATTTTTATTTATTAGTTCTACAAAACTGGATGTCTTACATAGTACATAACTTAATACACATAAAACAAACTATTTAAGTAACACATCCTTCTAGATGTAGACACAGCATGCATAACTTAATTTTTACACACACAAAATGACACTATACAATAATAATTTGTATTAATAGAGAATTATGTTATAAAGCTTTCTTGTATTTCAAGAAAATTACAATTTAATGACCGTTTAATATTACTGACTGATGCACCGAAAATATCAAATATGTGTCTGACATTATTACAATTCTCACACATTCGATATACCGGGGAGTATTTGCCATAGTTAGTTCTACACTTGGGGAGATTAAAAGTTTTTCTATTGAGCAGTCTGCTACATGATCGTGGAACTACTATACCAATATTTTGTAGAATATCAGGGCAATCGACTATTCCGTCTAAGATTTTATATAAAAGTACCAATTCAGATGTTTCGCGACGTCTTGAAAGGGAAATAATTCCATAATATTTGAGTCTAGAATTATACGAGGTAAGATGTTTACATTGATTATCCGAAAAAGCAAGATGGTAAAGAATTATTTTTTGTACTTTCTCTAATCTCATATTGTGAACCTGGTACTTAGGATTCCAAACGGGGCTACAATATTCAAGAATACTCCGTACAAACCTATTATAAAGCAGAATGGCTATTTCAAAGCATTTGAAAAAATTATTTTGTCATACTACTAATGCAATACTAACAATTACCTTCCCCCTGATATTACCTAAATGTCGTTTGGCTAAAGTTAGTAATTCGTTTGATGGCAATTGCGTAAGGTTTTACAACAAAATACCAGAGTCTGTTATAAATCTGCATGAAAAAAGATTTAAATGTCATATAAAACACTTCCTTTGCAAAAAAAGTGTACTATAAAATTGAAGAATTCGTTAACGATAATAATGTTTTTATAGAAAAACTTTAAATCCATAGCACTGACAATATTATCTGATTACACTAATAATGTGTGCGTAGCGATTTCTATGTTGATTATCGCATGCCTCTCACTAATTATACTGTAATTATTATACAAAAAAAACATCTATTCAAAAGAACTACACACAAGTTTCTTGCTCATTCTTCTTGTGATGAATCTGTATTCCGAATGAGTGGTAGAATCAAAATATGACTATTCAAAAGTGCTTGTAATGAGTTTATTTGAATAAAGATTATTTCTATTTCTATTTCCTGTCTATGCGTGCTCAAGATTCGAGGTTGTCGCAGTTGCTGGAGAATCTCCCCCTCAATGCTATAAGGGATGGTTTCAAGGACGAGAGTCTTCACAGTTCTTTTTATTTCACTTGTTATGCACTATTATTGGAACGATATAACATCATTACTTAGTATAAAACAAAGTCGCTGTCGCTGTCTGTCCCTATGTATGCTTAAATCTTTAAAACTACTCAACAGATTTTGAAGTGGTTTCTTTTAATAGATAGAGTGATTCAAGAGGAAGGTTTTATATATGTAATACTTGTACACCCGTGCGAAGCCGGGGCGAGTAGCTAGTTTTATAATAAGTTTTTTTTAGACACTTGAATCTTTTTTCTATCAGTTTGTTGTAAAACTTTACTTCATTTCAATTCCAATCGCCCAGGGAGTGTGTACTCTTCGTTGATGAGGTCGTCTGGTTCAAGTGTGAGTAGGTAGTGAGTACCTTGGAGCGCCGACACGAGGTGCCTGGCGTCGTCGTGGGGCGGGTGTCCGTTGACCGGGGCGGGGGCGGGCGCGGGGGCGGGTGCGGGGGCGGGCGCGGGGGGCGACACGTGGGGCAGGTGGGGCGGCGCGGGGAAGGCGGCGGCGGGGAACGACGCGGGCGGCGGCGGCGGCGGCGGGAAGTACCCCCCCGCGCCGCCCGCCTCCTCCTCCTCGCCCTCCGACCGCCCGGAGCCCTCGCCCTCCTCGTCAGAGAACACTATGTCCTGTGACAGACCATCGCACGTTGCACACCACAGATATATCTCCTTTGGAGAGTTTACAATCTCACCCACTGTTTCTAAACCTTCTATAAACTATGCCCTACCTTAACCTTTCTAAAACCGTTTCCCTCTGCCCCCTCCCTTATATAATATATATAAATTTTAATTTAAAAAAAAAAATTTTCACTTAAAAAAATCTAAGAATTGATAAACACAATAAGTGTACATAACCTAGTACCTTTAATCATAGTTAATCAACATCAACATCAACAGCCTTAAAAATAAGTAAACTAATTGAATTGTATCGAATTCTGTATCTTTATTTTTGAAGCTAGAATAATGAATTTTTTTTTATTTGTTTTTTGTCGGGTTAGGTCATTAAATATTTTTTCATTATTTGGTCACTACTCAACGTGGACGAAGTCGCGGGTGCAGCTAGTATTTATAATTTTTATATAAAATATATAACTCAAAGGTGACTGACATAGTAATCTATCAACGCACAGCCCAAGCCACTGGACGGATCGGGCTGAAATTTGGCATGCAAGTAGATGTTATGACGTAGGCATCCGCTAATAAAGGATTTTGATTAATTCTACCCCCAAGGGGATAAAATAGGGGATGAAACTTTGTCAATTTTAAACCGATCGGGCTGAGACTTTACATGCAAAAAGCTCCTATGACGTAGGCATCTCCTAAGAAAGAATTTTGATAAATTCCACCCCTAAGAGGATAAATTAACGCGAGCGAAGCCGCGGGCAAAAGCTAGTTTTTATATAAAATGAATATATAAATTCAAGACTGGCCTGGTAACGGAAGATGTCGTTGTGGACGTAGTACTTCTTGGGCGACTGCGCTGCTAGCACGAAGGTCTGCGTGAAGCGCCTCATGGGTGCTCCGCCGTTGCTGAGCTCGCCCGTCACCTGCACCACCACGCCGTTGCCCAGCGTCGCTTGCGCGTCCACCTGCCACCACACCACCATTTATCACTACACCACACCACACATGACCACTTTATATGATCTCCAGTACAGAACTCATCATATCTAATTGCATTCAAAATTCAAAATGTCTTTATTCATGTAGGTCTATTACAGACTTATGATATGTTAAATCTACCGTCAGTTCGGAATGATTTCGAAATGAGAAGAACTGACAAGAAACTCAGCTCTGATAACTCTTTAAGCACTATGGGGAATATAAGTAAGTAATAGGGCTGCTTTATATGGAGTTTATTCACAGACAAAAGATAGGCGATCATCCGTATGCGAAACGATCCACCCTCAGAACTTTATAAGGCGCTTACCCTACATTACAAGCTCGTATTCTTTTCAAATAAATGTTGCACATGTTTACAATAATACAGAATCATTTGCAATACAAATTGCAATCAGCAACTTTGTTTTATAATAGTATAAAACAAAGTCACTGTCGCTGTGTGTCCGTCCCTATTGTAAGAAGCACTAATAATGATGGACGACTGAGGCTTTGAAGCCGGCTACCGCAAGGAAACCCCAAGTAGCGCCCGTGACTTGTGACACGGGTGTAGGTTTAAAAGGCCGTTTTAGAATGCATTAACACTCACCTTCACTACTTGCAGCTTCCCCCCAGGCCCAACTAAGACCGGGATAAACCCATTGCTAATACAATTCACTTTAATATCCAAAACACAACTGGCACGCTCTGCGCTCGTCGACTGAATGCCGCGCCTCACGCAACGAAAGAGGATTATTCAACTACCGACCTCCGTATTTATAGACCAAAGTCAGTGTAGTAGGTTGGTCTATAAATACTAGATGGCGCTATTTACAATATTCGAAATAATCCTTACATCGGGTACTTCATTACTACTAAAAACAAACTACCTTCTTTTAATATATTTTTAAAATATAGGATTTTTTCTACAATAATGATGTGAATTCTAACACTATGTATGCTTAAATCTTTAAAACTACGCAACGGATTTTGAAGCGGTTATTTTAATAGATAGAGTGATTCAAGAGAAAGGTTTAGATATGTAATTCATGTACAGCCGGTGAAACCTGGACGAGTAGTATAAAAAAAAAATACCTGACTGATCTTGGCATGGCAGTCGCGGAAGTTGAGCTGCTGTATGCGGTTGTGTATCTGCTTCTGGCCGACGACGGGCAGGGTCTCGCGGTTGGGCGCGTCCAGACCACCGTGAACGAACGACGAGTAGTTGTTGTAGAATCTGCAGATCAATAAAGCACCGGTTTAATCTAACGAACGAGTCCTGCAGCGGATCCAGCATCGTCACGTAGCCCTGCTTACGCATTGGGTTCGCGAAAAATATCCCACCTGGATGTTAATACGATATCTAAATATATATAACTCAAAGGTGACTGACATAGTGATCTATCAGCGCACAGCCCAAACCACTGGACGGATCGGGCTGAAATTTGGCATGCAGGTAGATGTTATGACGTAGGCATCCGCTAAGATTTTGATAAATTCCAGCCCTAAGGGTATAAAATAGGGGATGAAAGTTTGTATAAATCTTCTTAGATTTTCGACTGATTGAACTGAAATTAAAGATTAGAGCTACTATGATAAAGACGTTCGCTTAAATAGGATTTTGATAAATTCAACCCCCATGGGGATGAAATAAGGGATGATGCAGGATGTAAATGCATTAGTTTGAACATATCAAATACGGTTAAAAATCAATTCGAACCTATTATATACGAGTACAAATACCTGCCCCGCTCATGTGTTAATTACATTATTACTAGCTGTTCCCGCGACTTCGTCCGCGTGGAATTTAACTTTAATTTTCTAAATTAAAGGCAGCCTAACTTACTCCTTATATATTATTATACATCAGCTAGCTACCAATAAAAGTCCCGTCAAAATCGGTCCAGACATTTCAGAGATTAACCTGAACAAACAGATTTTTTTACATTTGGTGTATGTACCATATTTATATTCATATGCATGTAGTAAAAAACGGTTATTTCCATATTACAAACAGACACTCCAATTTTATTTGTATGTATAGATGAATAGATAAAGTTGAAACAATATTCAACGAAGAATAAGAATGCGACTTGTAAGTCCTTTCTTTATTACAAATGAGCTACAGATAACAATAACGTTTTGTTTGCACGCAAGGAGAACGGAGTGAAGTGATTCTTAGAATCTTTTCATGCACTTTGTAAGTTTAACTTGTGGCAATAATTGTTAGGGACCTATCTATACTAAAATTATAAAGCTGAAGAGTCTGTTTGTTTGAACGCGCTAAGCTCAGGAACTACTAATTCGAATTGAATTTTTTTTGTGTTGAATAGTCCATTTGTCGAGGAAGGCTTTAAGCTATATAACATTACGCCACGACCAATGAAGCATCAAAAATGTTGCAAAAACTGGTAAAATTACTCATTTGAGGGCTTCTGTTGAGTGAGCTAAATAAGAATGCGATTTTACAAGTCCTGTATTATAAATAACTAGCTGTCCTGGCAAACGTTGTTTTGCCTTAAAATAAAAATAAAAAATTAGGGGTGGACTACCCCTAACATTTAGAGGGATGAAAAATAGATGTTGGCCGATTCTCAGACCTACGCTCAGAAAATTTCATGAGAATCGGTCAAGCCGTTTCGGAGGAGTATGGGAACGAAAACTGTAACACGAGAATTTTATATATAAGATAATAAAAATCACAGGACAATTCACACAGCGCCATCTAGACCCAAGTTAAGCTAGCTAATGCTTGTATTATAGGTACTAGATAACTGATATACATAGATATATTTTTTTTTGTAAATACATACATATTACACATAGAAAACACCCAGACCGATACAAACACTCATACTCATGAATACAAATGTTTGTGCCGTGCGAGGAATCGAACCCGCTCGACCATCGGTCGTAAAGCGGTGTGCCGCTAGACCACCGAGGTCATCGAATGGGCTACAGATAACAATAACGTTTTGTTTGCACGCAGGGAGAACGCAGTGAAGTGATTCTTAGAATCTTTTCATGCACTTTGTAAGTTTAACTTGTGGCAATAATTGTTATGGACCTATTGTTTGTATCGCTTTAGGAACTCATTTATTTCGACTGCTTAACCTTTTTCTATTGTAAAGGCATGTAAATGATCGTTAGGATTTCAACGCGTGTTAATTTTTAACTTATACACTAGCTGATACGCGCGACTTCGTCTGTGTTACATATTCCAACATGTTTTTGCAACATTTTCATTGGTCGTAGCATGTTATATAGCTTACCAGCTGTGCCCGCCACTTCGTAGCTTGATATTTTTAGCATATATGTTATTCTGATGTACATATAAGCTATAATATAGCTGTAAAGTTTAATCAAAATCCGTTCAGTAGTTTTTGCGTGAAAGAGTTACAAACTTTCGCGTTTATAATATTATTCAGATAAGATACGATTCCTCAATAGATGGAAAGAATTTTCTAAAATTGGTTGAGAAGATTAGGTTACCTCTTAAAAATTAAATTCCACACTAATATTGTAAAACGGCTGGATGAATTAGGATGACATTTTCACAGAATATAGAATTTACCTATGCAGACTAGAGTACCTGGCAATAGCTTAAAGAAAAACCATTTACCTCAATAAAGAAAGAAAGAAAGAAAAAACATTTATTGTCAACCATTATTACATATACACATTTGACAATTGTACACTTTACACATATATATACATACACATATGCACACACACACTCATATACATACATACATACTTAGAACCATTACAATAATTCATCTTATATTATTTCTAAATATGGTTGGCAACATGGCTGACACTCAGCATAAAGGAAACATACCTATGCAGATGGGCGGGCGCTTTGTTGAGCAGCGTGTAGTACTGGCGGACAAACTCGCGGCCAACGCTCTGCGGGGACGGGGACGCCTCCATTACCATCGCTGTTGTTAACAGTGCGCCAATACAGCCCTCCGCTATACCTGCAACCACAACCACCACCACAATCACATACAACTAGATAGATAGATAAAACTTCAGTTGCGACTAGCTGTACCCGCGACCTCGTCCGCGTGGAATTTAACTTGATTTTTCTAAAATAAAAGTAGCCTAAGTTACTCTATACATCAGCTACCTGCTAATGAAAGTCCCGTCAAAATCGGTCCAGCCATTTCAGAGATTAGCCAGAACAAACAGACAGACCAGTGGAGATGATGAGATGAGCATGAGGTCAGGTCAATTAGGCCATCGGGACAAATTCACCAAGAATTTATCACGATGGTTTCCAGCCGGGTGGCGGGGAACCGCGTGGAAGTCAATCTGACCTATTGCTAGCAATGTTTCCCTGCCAGCCTAAATGTTAACCAGCAAACAGATTTTCAGGTGTTTCCCAAGTCAATACCATTCCATTATCATTTAGAAAGAAAACCATGTCAGCTTGACCTTCATCTGGTTCCCCCTGGAGACCGTCATGTTAAATTCCTGGTGAATCACGATAGGCCAACTGACTGACTTTTCAGAGATTAGCCGGAACAGACAGACAAAAATTATAAGAATGTTATTTTGGTGTATGTACTGTATTTATATTCATATGAATATAGTAAAAAACAGTTATTTCAATATTACAAACAGACATTCCAATTTTATTTATATGTATAGATAATAAGATATGTATAGATATAATAAACCTAAAACAATATAAATATGCTACATAAATTTTTGACTATACTGGATGGTAGAGACAGTTTTAAAAAATACTTTTTTTTTTCTCTTCCTATCTGCAATCAGTCCCAGAACTATGAGCTGATTTTTTGGGTGTGAGAACTAAGAATGGAGTGTCCACCCTAGTAGGAGGATCTATTCCTTAAGCATACTGCAAACATTACACAATGTCGCATCTTTTTAGTCGCTTGGCTAAAGTATTTGTAGTAATTGAGCAGCCAGTTGATTTGGGTGGTTACATAGTCGCTTTTAATACTTTTCTTTACAATTGAGGATCTCCTCTTTACTGTCAGTATGCCAAGTTCCTTGTGAATTTCGTTGTTGGTGATATACCAAGGGACACCCGATACTGTTCTCAGTATAATACTTTGACTTTGATGCACTTCTCCAAAGTTGTAATAGTTTTAGAATGGACTTATAAATCAGTAGTTTATTGTCAATATACAGTTTTGTATTTCGACCAATCAGCCAGTAACGATTTTAAAGCAAATCATTAGTTTTGTATTTCGACCAATAAGCCATTAAAGATTTTTAAAGTGAATCATTAAACAATTTCTCTTGGTTTTAATATGTTCTTAAAGAATATGACATGCATAAAGAGGCCAAAGGTCCTACATGATTAAATATTTTTTTATTTAATTTCTCTTATCATTCCTAATCAAGATAAGATAACATTACAATCAGGATTCATTCTGTTATTGTAACTGACCCTTTGCTTCTAACAACAAATAAATACAAATTCAAAATATCTTTATTCATGTACGTCCATTACAGACTCTTATGATATGTCAAATCTACTGTTAGTTCAAAATGATTTCGAGATGAGAAGAACTGACAATAAACTCAGCTCGTACTCTTATCAAATAAATGTTGTACATGTCCCTGTTAAATTTCTTAATCAGTTACAAACTTTATAAAATATCATTATTACATAGTATAAAACAAAGTCACTGTTGCTGTCTGTCCATCCCTATCTATGCTTAAATCTTTAAAACTGCGCAAAGGATTTTGAAGCCTTTTTTTATAGCTAGAGTGATTCAAGAGAAAGGTTTATGTATATAATACATGTACACCCATGCGAAGCCGGGGCGAGTAGCTAGTATAATTATATAAATCAATACAATTAACTAACAGTTTGCTGTAAATGACCTATTTACCACTAAGTTCATTTATTAATAGCTATTGTGTGTTAATGGTCTGCTTCAATCACTATGACTAGCAACATAACTATGTATTTAATGTTATTTTCATGAATTTATACTATGTGGTGGTTTATATTCATAGAAAACTTATAGTTGAACTGCTTTTGTTTAAAAGACTGCTTTTTGACAGCATCTACATTCAGATTGGTATTATTCAAAACTTATATTACATTTATTTGAACAAAGAATATTTATTTTCCTTGTATTAACTAAAAATGTATAAAATATAATTATTTTTAATTCAGATTTATAGTATTTGAATACATATGTAGTTGTAGGTAAATACTATTTCCAGTTAAGTAGATTATATTTATCAAATGTAACTTTAATGACATTTAGAATTGATAATCTCGAATATTTGTTTTCGGTGACGAATATGTATGAATCGTAGTAGCTCAGTATTTTTAAGCAATGCAATGACCATTGTCATAAACAAGCAAGTAAACAACAAAATGTCATCGCGTAACAACATAATTCAGATGATTAATGCCTAATATTTATATATAAAACGTTCAGAGGACGATATAGCTCACAGGTGCGTATAGCAAACGAAAAAAGGAGCCACAAAGAGCTGGTATTGTCAAAGCACGCATGGCGACTTAATCTGGGAGATACCACATATGTATCGAGCAATTATTACTAAAAAGTGGAAATATGCAATTAAATATTAATAATACTAGTATATTTTGCAGTTACAAACGAGATGTAGCTGATAATACGGATATAATGGGGTATTAACCTTTAAAAGTAATAGGTCCGCCGACAATCAAAATATTGAATATTTAGAATATCAGAGTGTATTGAATTATCATAAACTTACCTCAGTACAATTTAGGCATCAAAATGGTGTAATTTGCGACAAACTATCACGAAAATCGCGTAATTTTCACTATAAATAAGGACTGAAAACAGAAAAAGAGACTACCTCACCGTTCGGATGTCAATTTATTTTTTAATCAATGTTGCCAGTTTCCTCATGGCCAGTGTTTTATCTTTTGAAACGTATTGCTATAACGTTTCCATTAAATATTAATTATCGTTTTAACTAGCATAGGTAGAGCTTCGACCATTTTGTTTTTTTTTGTATTCAGTTTTCAGATTCGAAAAGAGCTATAAGAAGAATTTTATGTAAACATGCTAGAAGCGTTAGATAATTTAATTTGTAGGCAACATACTTTCATTCTAATCTAGTAGTTATGAATAATGTATTGTAAAATTAAATATTATGTACTTTATTACACTAAATATATAAATAAATTTCTAATGTACAATTTACAGATTTATATTAAGTATATGTTCATGACACTCATGGTGCATACACGGCTACCGAACAGACTTATCTGGTTTGTTAGTTACTGTACAAAGTCAAACATATGTACCAGTTCTTCAGAAAATATTTTATTAATATAATTTATCAGCATTTCATCATTTAATATTTCATTATTATTATATAAATTAGTTTATGTCATTTCAATTAATATATTTGATAATGTAAAACCGCCTCTGGGAAAGAGGCGAAATGCACGATTCTTAATTGTTTAGTTTTTTCTGGGTAATTTGGCCAAATAAAACTAAAATATTCATTTTCAAAACATGAAAAGTCTTTTTTATTAATGGTCAAATATTGTTGGACATATTATATCTTAAATTAATATATTATTCATATATTCACTACTGTTAATTTACGTTTAAATAGCATGTGCTATACCGTTATGTCTTATAGAAAATATTAAATTACAATTGTTATTAAAGTCTTTGTTATTAATAATGAGAAAAAACTTATTTAATTTTTCTTTCTTACATTTAAGAAAGTTTATATTTTTAAAATAAGGACTACGGAATATATTTCAAGTATGTTTTGTCTAATTAAAAGTTAAAATATACGGGTAAACGTTGCCAATATGGATAATATGATGGCAAATTAATATTCAGTATTTCAGAACTGAATATCAATTTCCGAACGTAAATTAAACAGAGAAAGATATTACAAATTACGCCGGCCGCCGGCTGTGGTATGCTTATCTGTATGTTGGTACTAGTATTGATTCATTGCCACCAAAATTTTACAATTATCCGTCTCTTTTTTACATGCTATGTTAACTAACTACATCCTTTTCGCACCATGTTGATGCCATTGACCCGCTCAGGCGAGTCTTTCATGATTGGCTAGAGAAGTGGAGGGGTTAAAAATGTTTGCAAAAAAAGAGCGTCGCTTTTGAGAATAGCCAACATTATGGAATATTTCGCGCCGACTCATCACGCATTTCCTTTCATTCTTCTTCATTTGGCATTCGGAGTTGAAGGTCGCGTGTAGACCTTAGTTTTAGTTTATTATTATATAAAGTAGCCTAAAGTTAATAGTCATGGCTAATAACGATAATTTTGCACAAGACGTTACCGATAATCAACTAAATGGAAATGCTGAAAATGGTGGAGGAGATGCACAAGAAAATAACAGTGCCGAAGCCCCTGGACGCGATGACGACAGGTACCGTTAGTTTTATAATTATTCTATGTAATTTCAAAAATATATCTTTTCTTTTTACAAAGTTTAAGAGTGAATAGTTATCTTAACAGTTATATTTTAACGTAATTCATAGTTTTGTAAATTTTTTTCACAGTTAAACTTATTCCCCGCCACAATGGCGGCGGTCCGGCATTATCCTTATCGGCATGTAAATCTCTCATAATCTTAGCGATCTTTTCAAAATTGTACATTTTTGCATTTTCAGTGTGTTCTTTGCTATTTAACGTTTTTATAGTTGTCATAGTTTTAGTTCCGGAGAACTTTCAGCTTCAAATTTTGCTAAATGTACATAATCTCGGAAGCCGCATGAGAAGTAAAATGGCGTCATATTGGCGCGTCTCTTTGCACCCGGCACCGGCCCGGCCCCTTTATCGATTTTTTTCATAGTGAACTTGTGGTCTTAATGCATATCGTGACGGTCAGCGAACGAATCGTGAGACCGTTAATCGTTAGCGGCACATACGTAGGTACTAGCAAGATTTTAAATCGGTGGTAGCGCTATAGCGTGGGCGCCGCGACGCCGGTCAGTTTGGGGCGCTACTAACGCTGTGTCTCTCTGCAGGTGTGAGCCTGCGCCGCCGCCGCAGCTGCCGCCGGAGGACGCCATGGTATATATCCGCTGGGCTCACACTAAAGTAAAAACAACGACCAAACTGACTAGTTTGCCTCGGCCACTTAACTTTGGGCCTCGTTCACAGTTGCCAATTTCAAATCTTGCGATATTACTATAACACCGTTTCATTTTTGGTTGTCCTATTATCTGATAATGTTAAATTTCCAGTTTTGTAACTTACAGGTTGTCAATTTGTTTTGCTGCAGTGCTTGGAGTTTGTTTTGAACACAATAGTAGCTGTAAAGTACTGTAAACAAGTACTGCATAGTTGTAATGTTAAATTGTAATTATTAAGTCAGTTTCTAGTTCGCGACATTGTTGCATTGTTCATTTCTTCATGTGTTGATTGATACTATACTTGTGTCCACAGAAAACTTTTTGTTGGAGGCTTGAGCTGGGAGACAACAGACAGTGAGTATTTATCACCCTATATTTAACTTTATTGCACACATTCCTTGATTTTAATTAAAAAAAAAAAAATTCTGAACTGATATAATTATGATATCAAATAGCTATTCTATCAATTTATTATTATTTTTTTATGATGACCTTTACAGTTCTGCTTCTGAATTAGTTTTGAAGAAAGCTATACCCACAAATCTGAGTTTTTAATCATTTAATCAAATTATGCATTGTCCTTTTACATGTTACTAATGTGTACAATTTGTGTGCAGAGGAATTACGTGACCACTTCAGTGCTTACGGTGAGATTGAGAGCATCAATGTGAAGACTGACCCCAACACAGGCAGATCGCGGGGATTTGCATTCATTGTATTTAAGGCACCAGACTCCATTGATAAAGTGATGGCCGCAGGAGAACACACAATCAACAACAAGAAAGTAGACCCTAAGAAAGCAAAAGCAAGGCATGGCAAAATCTTTGTTGGCGGACTCAGCAGTGAGATTTCAGATGATGAAATTAAGAACTTCTTCAGTAATTTTGGAACTGTAAGTTATCATTTGTTATAACTTTACGTCAGCTTTATTATAGGGTCCGTAGATATGTCAGTTCCATAGACTTAATATATTATTGTCTATCTGTAACCTAAAAATGTCCAGACTTGTGGTAGTGGTAGTGGGGTCATTGGGCTTCCTAAAATATTCTATTCTACAAATATATTTCTTAAAAATTAATTTATACTAACATTTCAGTTCAATCACTAAATATGCAAATAGTAAAAAAAAATTACTTAAATAAAATAAATAGTTAATGTAGTTAATATATTTTATTAAATATATATTTATATTGTAAGTCTAAAGAATATTTTATTTTAATTGATTATTTAAATAATTATTTTAAGTTAATTAATTTACTGTCAGACACTGTGTGGCTCCAGTGTAGGTGAGATAAATATTTCTTTGAATTCTTTTAAAACCAGACTGGGCCACTTATTAGCAAAGTTAGAAATATTTAATTATCATTATTAACTACAAACTATAAGCTAATATTTATTTATTTTTGTTTTAGATTGTCGAAGTTGAAATGCCATTTGACAAGACGAAGAACCAAAGGAAAGGCTTTTGTTTCATCACATTTGAATCTGAACAAGTGGTTAACGAGCTGTTAAAGACCCCCAAACAGACCATCGGCGGTAAAGAGGTGTGTATTGTTATTTATTAAATTAACTTGATACCATACTATTTCCTAAAAAAAAAAAAACTAATATGGGTATTAATAAAAAAAAGTGCTATTTAATTTAAATCCTATTTTTTTTTTATTTAAAATGTTTCTATCAGGTTAGTCACTTATGTTTTATTGTTGATTGATGATGATTTGATTTTAATGCAACTTATTGATGATTTAAGGTTAACAATGTTGATGTTTGAATTTCAGGTCGATGTAAAGAGGGCAACGCCGAAACCCGACGGCCCCGGAGGCATGGGCACGAGGGGCGCGCGGGGCGGGCGCGGCGGGCGGGGCGGGCGCGGGGGCCGGGGCGGCTACGGCGGACAGGGCGCCTGGGGCAACCAGGGCTACGGCGGGTACGGCTACGGCCAGGGCGGGTACGGCAGCGGCTACGACGGCTACGGATACGGCGGCTACGGATACGACGGATACGGCGGTTACGGCGGTTACGATTACTCCGGCTACCCCAATTACGGTAAACGCGGCAAGCAGAACTAGTATATCGGCCAGCCCGCGCCTACCGCTCACCGACACATTACCTCGACTGATGTTACCTGATCCCTAGGATGTAATGGTAGAGTAAGGGGCGCGACGGCGCCGGCGCCGGCTAGATTACGACGTGCGAGGGGGCGCTCACGTTCCGTCCTCGAGATGCCTATTTACCTAATTATTATGTATATCTTACATTATATTCATAGAGATCGACATCACGCGAATAATAGGTTTATAACTTAGTGTGTAGAAAATATTTATTTTTCTAAATATTTAATATTCTATCGAGATAATGTGTAGTGAATGTTTGTGGAGGGCGACACGACTACATTGATAGCATCCGCCATTTTATAACGTTTGATTTTATAGTATTGGATATATCACATTAACTGGATCTTAAGGATTGCTCGCTTTTAGTTTCATAATTTTGTTTACTCATCACTAATTGGGTGGGTGGGTATATCAGTCTCACACACATAAAAGTATCTGTCGGGCCGCGCGCCTGTCTGACCTGTTCTGTTGGCCTGTCTACCTTATAGTGTACAGTAGTTCGGAGTCATTCATTCTGCTCTTTGTCATTGTTTCACCGGGTTCTATTCTGTACATATGTTACCTGCCTTATGTTTTAAGTGTTTATTTGTAATACCACTTTTGACATATGTAGCCATGTCGCCAGTTTTGTTTTGGTATTTTTGTTTTACCTGCTGATACTCGCCACATGCTACATTTGGGAAATGGGGTAAATATGGAGAGACATTGTGAAAGTGATAAAGATAATATGATGAAAGCTTTTGAATAAAGCACTGTTACAAAAATTCTCAATGTGTTTCCATATGTAACCCTGGCCTATTCCTTATTCCCACCGGGCGCCGTGCGCCGTGCTTCACTTCTTGGGTTCACACTACTAACATCGCATGTTTGTTTGTTCACGTCGTACTCGTGAACACTGGTTGGTGTAATGCTAAAGAGAAGAGTATTCAATATATTGGTTGGGCTACTCACACCTGTAACATTGTCACCGAGTAATTACATCATGTATTGGTTGTTAGACAATCTATCTTAATACCAGTATGCACGGAAGATGAGTTCTCTTGAGGTATATTGATAATTTATCATGTAAAAGAAATATTAATTATTGTCTGTAAGTAAACGGGCTATAACACTATAGAAGGGCAAGAATTATCAAGGGTAATTTCATCTATTCGATGTTATATCAAATAGATCCCGATTCGATGGCGCCAATTAACCTACGTTTTATCTTAGAAGGTAGGATCGTCATAGGCAATTTAAACACTACTAGTATTTAGAGTGAAAAGTGATTTACTCTGGAAAGTCTGTATGCATATGTGCAATTCATAGGTTAAATGTATCGACCGTACTATTTACAATTGTTTCCATACAACGGTTACAACTTTACAGGATGAGCACTGACTAAAAGCTTTCACTCTGCATATTTAATCTGTGGAGAAGAGTTGGGGCCTGACCAGTGGCGATGGAGCGTAGGAGTGTAACAGAGTACCTGGGTAGGTGGTAGTTAGCCAGACCTGGGTACTAGGATACCAGGGTATCAGGGGTAGGTGGTAGTAGGCAGCGTAGGCAAGCCAAGTGAGCCGGGGACCAACTGTGTTGTTGTGCGCGGGCAGACCGTACCTGGGTACCAGGGTAACAGGGGTAGGTGGTAGTAGGCAGTGTAGGCAAGCGAAGTGAGCCGGGGACCAACTAATGTGTTGTGTGTGGGCAGACCGTACCTGGGTACCAGGGTATCAGGGGTAGGTGGAAGTGGGCAGTGTAGGCAAGCGAAGTGAGCCGTGGACCAACTAATGTGTTGTATGCGGGCAGACCGTACCTGGGTACCAGGGTATCAGGGGTAGGTGGAAGTGGGCAGTGTAGGCAAGCAAAGTGAGCCGGGGACCAACTAATTTATGTGCGGGCAGACTGTACCTGGGTACCAGAATACTAGGGTATCAGGGGTAGGTGGTAGTAGGCAGTGTAGGCAAGCAAAGTGAGCCGGGGACCAACTAATGTGTTGTTGTGTGCGGGCAGACTACGGCGGGTACGGAGGGTACGAGGGCGGGTACGGCGCGCGCACCACTCCACGCGGGAAAGGTACTGGCCTTCACCCACCACTTGCACTACTTCACTAGTCACTCCTCGTACTCGACTGCAAACGTTTTGCGTCCACCTGTCGACCGCCGATCGCCTTATATTGCACCTCGAAGAGGCATATCTGAACGTGTTATCAGAGCCCTAATTATATAACGAAATTGCTAAAAATTTTCATTTGTAGTTAAAATGTAAGTTGTATCATATGTGACGGTCTCGTTGGTTTAGCGGTTTACTTTAGATGGTCGCGGGTTCGATTCCTCGCGCTGTACAAACATATCAAATTCAGAATAACTATTCATGTAGGTCCATTACAGACTCTTATGATATGTATTTCTATTTGATTATAATAGTTTGTATCAGTCTCAGATGTATATATTTACAAAAATCGTAAGTATTTATATCAGTTAGCTAGTACCTTAACATAGCTCCGCTTAGTACGGCATAACAATGTGTGAAATGTCCTGAGATAACATCACAGTTGCAATTGCAAACCGTTATTTTGTAATTGCATAACTCGAATGTATATACAAAATTTTAAAACTATCGAATTTTAATCTATTTAGCAATATCGTTAAATATAGTGGCCTGTAACGCGGCAAAACGTTTGGAGCGACATAGGCTTGTATGTTGTACTGTGTGAGTCATGTCCGTACCGTGTCCCGCTTACGTATTCCTACACGTCTTATTTGGCACTTTATTATTTATACGATAAATGGCAAAATTTAGTGAGGACGTGAACATTGGGGGAGCGAGCGAGGTCGGACATGCCAGTTCTATTAGCGCTTTACGTTGGTGCATTTATAACTAGAGTCAACAACTTCAAGGTGCCTACCTCCACGAAGACACCTACACAGCATCAGTTATGAATGCACATCATATTAGTGCATCTCTCGGTTGATTTCTCGTTGCATGTCATGATCATTTGCTATATTTTATGTATATATTTTTTGCACTTTTGTCCAAACATGATTTGCTGTAACATAGGTTTGTAATTTAGCAATTCTTAATTGGAGTTATATATTTATAACTAGTTGTACTCGCGACTTCGTCCATTTGGAATTAAATATTTTTTTAAAATAAAAGTAGCCTAAGTTAATTCTTATTATATCAGTTACCTGTCAAAAAAGTCACGTAAATTAGCAGGAACAAACCAACAGACAGACAGACAATTGTAGAAAATGTTATTTTGGTGTATGTACCGTATTTAAATTCATATGCATGTAGTAAAAAACGGTTATATCAATATTACAAACAGACACTCCAATTTTGTTATATGTATATATATATGTACATATGTAGGTATTTGAAGTATTTATTGTACCATAAATAACACCTTTTTATATCTGTTCACTCTGTAATTAAAACGGCAATACCATGTAGGAGTGTGTTCACTAATATATCCCAGTAATGTCTTGTTTCACCCTAACATTTGATATTTAGTATTCAATGTAAGGGGCCGTTCAAGTATTACGTAAGGAAATTTATTACAATTATTCCCCCCCCTCCCCCCCCCCTCCTCCATCAGCAAAAGTAAGCAAAACTCTAACCCCCTCCCCCATGCTTACGTAAACATTTTTCAATTAACGTATTGTTTTTTTTAGCAGACAATGTGAGCGTTGCCTTTCGTGTAAAAAAAGTAAATAATTACAGTGACGTAATCATCATCTAGACTCCCCTACTGCCCATGTCATCTAAAAAAAACAAAGTAATGGCCCCCCGCCCTCCATAGTGCTTACGTAATACTTGAACGGCCCCTAATCATACAAAGTTATATTTAATAATGGGGCAGCAAATTGAGATGTGCTTTTACAGAAAGTTAACTTACAGTGCTAGTGCAAATTACAATGCTATATTTACATCATTGATATACAAAATTGCAATACATTATTCCTAATTAAAAAGAAATTAGCAACGAAAAATATATTAATTTTTAAAAGACAAACCTTGTCATTTTCATATTAAATTATAGCATTTACACTTAGCATGTTGGGCAATTTTCAATACTTCTGGCTGGTTAGAAATAGGCGTTTCTAAATTGACGGGCTCGGTGGTCTAGCGGTTTTCACACCGCTTTACTACCGATAGTCGCGGGTTCGATTCCTCGAACGGTGCAAACAATTATACTCATGAGTGTGATTGTTTGCACCGTTCGAGGAATTGTTATATTGGTCTGGGTGTTTTGTAATCCGATGTATTTATATCAGTTGTCTAGTACCCATAACGCAAGCTGCTAACCGTAGGACTGGATAGCGCTGTTTATTTTCTAGGGTTATTTATTATTATTTGAATTGGGATTTTGTGTATCGATGGTTTATACATGGATTTCTTAAGCATGCCATCGCAAAATGCTGCCTCAAGGTCGAGTTAGTGGTTGCTATATGTGATGCATCGATATGTCGCAGCGGGGTACCAGGGCGGCAAGCAGCGCGGCGGAGGCGGCGGGGGCCGCGCCAACCAGAGGCACCAGCCCTACTAGAACCGGCGCACCGGCCTCTCGTACCTGCCGATAGTCATCTCAGTCCAATACTAAGGTATACTCTTTTAACATTGACCACCTTCTCAGTCACCACTGACTGACACTGAGTACCTACTAACTTGCCGTTCAGTGCTGTCAGTCTAGAGTTCTCTGTTAAACGTTACTGGGATACCCTGACGCGGCCCACCCGCATGTTACCGCAACTAGGCCAAAGAATTTTTATCAAAATGATTTTGGTAACAAATGAGCTTGTTACCAAAATCATTTTGAAGTGTGAAACAATGAAAGTGAAGTACTGTCACATGTGACTGACGCATAAACATCCTCATAATTTTCCACAAAAATGCATCAAAGTAAATTACATAGTAATATCTCTACATAATTTATTAAATATAACTTAAAAACAATGTAAAACTGATTGAAAATATATTTATAACCTACCCGCTGCTCGTCAGTTTATCTGTGATCATTGTGGTTGAAACTGCCTAAATATAGGGAACTCTAAAAATAAATTAAACGATTTAAGATAAGTGTGTTTTTTTCTAATTATACATATAAATAGTAAGGTTTTTTTAATTCCTAAGTCTCTCCTTTTTATAGTATAGTTTACTTTGGGGAAACTGATAATCATGACCTGTACTGTACACAAGTACAGAGTGATGATATTCACTCTACCCTCATGCGCTTTTATCCAGAAATTTTATGTGTCGCCATTCAAACGTTCAATTTTGGACGCAGTCGAATCGGGATCGAATTGTAGAACAGAATGGATTATATAGAATTAAATAACTAGTGTTGTAGTTTCGAAATGGTTATTTCCTGATGTTTATTAATAATTTTAGTTTGTCGATATATGTTTTAGGTAATTTTTCAGTCAACTTGCAAGATTATAGTCAAATTTTTGAGAAATTGTTACCATATTTGAGTTACATACTTATTACCTTTTTTTGTTATATACCAGAGAATGTATTTTTCAATGAAAATCAACTTATTAAGCATGTAAGAATTTTTTACATATGATATGCACACATGTGTCGTTTTGGAAATTTGATTGTACATTGTATTCCTTATACAGATTCATCGTTGATATTATAATTTGATAATAATTATTTTATGTTATTTTAGTAAAACTTGTATTTTATTAAAGATTGAAATTGTCACGTTACTGTCATCAATGAACCATATAATTATGATTTTTGTTATGACAAAACTACGCAAACATAAAAGTGCTCTAATTAGAGACCCCAGTGGCCGATAGGACTATCCTGATCATAATAGTCCTATAAATCATTTGACGTTCATAAGTGGCTAAAATGTCCTACATGAATAAATGATTTTTGAATTTCAATTTGTACGGGTCCATTAAATGCTTCCTACATAAGAGTAATACTGCCAATTTCATTCTGTCGTCATACGGTCTCGAACGTGTAACTGATGTTAATGTAATAGGTGCCATAGCATTATGTCGTATGGTATTTTGTTATGGGGCAAAGCAGCTGATATAAATACAATATTTACTTTACAAAAGAGGGCCATTCGCTCCATTTATGGTATGGGTTCCAGGGAGTCATTGCGAGAGTGTTTTAAGGAATCAAATATCCTCACCGTTGCTTCTCAATACATTTATGAAAATATCATCTATGCCAGAAGGAATATAGACAGTTTCAAAAGAGTTAGTGATTGCACTAATAAAAGCTTACGTAACAATAACAAACTGATTTTACCTAAATGTCGTTTGGCTAAAGTTAGTAATTCGTTTTATGGCAATTGCGTAAGGTTTTACAATAAAATACCAGAGTCTGTTATAAATCTGCCAGAAAAAAGATTTAAATGTCAAATAAAACAGTTCCTTTGCAAAAAAGCTTACTATAAAATTGAAGAATTCGTTAACGATAATAATGTTTTTATAGAAAAACTTTAAATCTATAGCACTGACAATATTATCTGATTACATTAATAATGAGTGCGTAGCGACTTCTATGTTGATTATCGCATGCCTCTTACTTGTTATACTGTAATTATTTATATAAAAAAAACATCTATTAAAAAGAGCAACACACAAGTTTCTTGCTCATTCTTCTTGTGATGAATCTGCATTCCGAATGAGTGGTAGAATCAAAATATGACTATTCAAAAGTGCTTGTAATGAGTTTATTTGAATAAAGATTATTTCTATTTCTATTTCTATTTCTAGGTGTAAGTGTTTGTTTGTTTGTTTGTTGCAGGTTAAGTCATCGGTCATGAGCGTCCCCGGCGTAATCTCGCTCGCCGCGCTGGGGACGCTTCATTTCATTCCACAGTACTAATATAAGGAAGTAATCTGTTTAAGAAATTTTTTAAGGATAAAAATACTGTTTTAAGTGAAGCGGGCCGCAGCCGGCGAACCGTCTCGTAAATTTAATATAATATAGTATGGATTTAATAGATTCACTTGAGTATTATTGCTGATTGATTAGATTCAATTTTGACCTTTAGAACTGAATAGATTAAATACAAATAATAATAATTATACAGAGCTTATAAAGGAACATTAGAAACAGTGCGTGGCGCCGTCCGCCGTCCGGTGTCCGGCGTCCGGCGTCCGGCGTCCGCCGAGTGTGTGTGTGCGTGTATGTGAGAGTGCAAGCTGGCCGTCTGTTACAAGTAAACATTGTTCATAGTTCTGGATCTCATTGCAGAATGTTGTAATTTTGTATTGTTTATTTGGTACATAGTTGAGCAAGAAATCAAAATCATGTATTTTGTACTAACTAGTTTCTTCCATTGATTAGGATGAAATTACTCTTAGATTAAGTGATTTGGACATGAACAAACTTCTGAAGATATACAATATGATGTATGTCACAATAAAACAAATTTGTAAATAAAATATTGACTTTTTATGTGTATTTGTCAATCGTCGTCTCTGTCGTCGACTGATCGATGCCGTGCCGTGCCGGGCCGTGCCGGGCCGTGCCGGGGCTTTATTATACGACCAGGGGCGGATCATGAATTTGTGATCAAGGATTTAGCCCAGGGCCCCGGCCTAAATCCTACTTACCTACCTCAACTAAAAAAATACACGGGCCCCAGTGGGGGGCCTTTTGTATCCTCGGGGCCCTGGGCTGCAGCTCAAAAAGCCCTTAGGTAGACCCGCCCCTGTATACGACAATGTAATTCAATAAACAATTGGTCCATGATTGGTTGCATAATACAAGAGTAATTAAATTTATTAAATACTAAAGACTAAGCATGTTTTGGCGTGTGCACATTATGTACTATTTCCCTGAAAATCCTATTCCTATTTTACTCAGCAAGTATTAACAATAAATATCTTAATAATCTTAACACACGGAAATTCAGAATCTAATAATCATTAATTTGCAAGGACTGGTATTACTTATATTTAAATATGGATCAATCGAAAAGCTTCCGTAGTAGCTATATGGAAATATATTTTAGTGAAGGTGAAACGATTTTAATGCTCCATATACTCTTGTCTGAGTACCAAATTTTATTAAAATCTGTTCAGTCTGTCTAAATCAAAGATTTGAAATTTCTAAACATGAATTTCACAAGATATTAAATACTTTATAAAATAAATGCAATCAGAACCATCACGATTTTCATGTAAATTTTACTTGTCATATATATTTAACTACTCGCCCCGGCTTCGCACGGGTCTACATGTATTATATATATAAACCTTCCTCTTGAATCGTTATCTATTTAAAAAAATCGCTTCAAAATCCATTGCGTAGTTTTAAAGATTTAAGCATACATAGGGACGGACAGACAGCGACAGCGACTTTGTTTTATACTATGTAATGTTGATAATGTAAAAATCCCTAAAGAAATAGGTCTTCACTACCAAACTGGTAGGTATATATCGTGAAGACAATGAATGTTTTTTTTTAATGGAGCATCCGCCTGCGCTAGTGGTATACACTGGCGGCACCAGTAAAGGATGATAGCATGAACATGAGGTTAGGTTAGTTGGCCTCACAAATTCACCAGGAATTTATGATTGTTTCCAGGGGATCCGTGTGGAAATCAATCTGATATGGTATATTGCTAGCAATGTGACCATCAGTCCTCATTACTGACAATCCCTTTTCCCTTTAGTAAATATAGTATTTAGTAAACCATTAAAAAGAAAGTTATACAAAATGGTGCATACTTTATTTGTAGGACAGACTAGGTATGTATAAAATACAGAACAAAACTGAATTCAGAGACTCCGTTAGTATCAGGACGGGATGGTACTCTGGACTGTCACTTCAGCAGGGCTGAGCGCTTGATGTGGCGTACAACAAGTCTAGGGCGTTGCACAGCGCACGGTAGTTCACCTGAACAAGTCACAGTTAAAACGAGTTATAGTTAACACAGGTTATAGTTAGAACATGTCCAGCAGTGGACGTCTTTCGGGCTGAGATGATAGAACAAGTTACAGATAACACAAGTTCAGTTAACAGCTTATAGATCATACAAGTTAGATAAATACTCTTCTGAGGTCTGTATGTAGGTACGAGAAAAGAAAATGGACATGTAAGTGGGCTATACATGCTCGTAACACACGTCACACTCCGTGTCACAGCTGGTCACATTTTAACAGTTTAATTCGTGTTATAATATTCTAATTGAAATGTGATTTCACTAAATCTAAGAATGGGAGAAAAGTCATAGATATCATGATCTATTACAGTATTTTTTCGAACGATTCTATTGCTTTTGTCTGAAGTTACCTTTACATCTTCACTGAATGATAGCGAGTGCAGATGGCACTCCAAACACGCGAAGGGACTTATGGAACAGCTGAAGGACAACTGCCTGACGGGTACTTTAGTCTGATGCCACCACTTGGGGTTCGAACAACGGGTCGGGTCGTAATTTCGGTCGCCGTTTGAATTGGAGGGGGATCGATCGGAGGGGCAAACTTGTGACTCCTTCAATGCCTTATTAAAAGGTACACCCCACTCCTAATATTTAAGGACTTTGAGTATAAAATCTGACTGAATATTGTAAAAGCGCCCATGTACCTCGTCACCACACCCTCGTCGGTACCCGAAGCACTTGTAGATGAGGTCCCTTTCCCGCGCAGACACCAGCTGCAGCAGGTTCCGTTGACATAGTGCTCGTTCCACCGACACGCGGGGTATCGTGCCGCAACGCTCTTTATCCATATCCTGAACATTTTTAACACACCACAATTCTACTCTCTAGTAGCTGTGTCTGCGGTTTCACTCGCATGGAATTTCTAGCCTTTTTTAGCCTTTTCCATTTATATGTTACTCTGATGTGTCTTAATCTTAACACGTCAATCGCCACGCTAATATCAGAAAATTTTTCACATGGGACATGGTAAATTTATTAGATAATTTAGTTAAAAATGTATCAAGGAAACTTAATGTATCACAGAATTTTTTTTTGCCAAAATTCCCGTAAAAACACTATATTTTATGTCACATATATGACTGATATGGTCCTATATTAAAACTTTTTCTCGACAAGCCGTGTTAGTCTTATATGTCTGATGCATCCAAACAAGATACAACAAGTATTGACCAATTGTTTTGAACACAGCGCCTTCTACCAAATCGCGTATGTCTATATATAACTCAAAGGTGACTGACATAGTGATCTATCAACGCACAGCCCAAACCACTGGACGGATCGGACTGAAATTTGACATGCAGGTAGATGTTATGACGTAGGCATCCGCTAAGAAAAGATTTTGATGAATTCTACCCCCAAGGGGATAAAATAGTGGATGAAAGTTTGTATGAAACTGTCAATTTTAAACCGATCGGGCTGAGACTTTACATGCATAAATCTACTATGACGTAGGCATCCCCTAAGAAAGGATTTTGATAAATTCCACCCCTAAGGGGATAAATTAACGCGAGCGAAGCCGCGGGCAAAAGCTAGTCAGGCATATATGCCTGACATGGTTCATGTAGAACTTCTTAGCGTCAGACACATGTGACAAGTTTATTAGTGTTTAATGGATGTTTGTTACTCTCACACGCAAAAACTACTGAACGGATTTTGATAAAACTACAATAATATAGCTTATGCGTCAGAATAACACATAGGCTATATTGAAATTAAAAAGATATATTTATAAATAAAGCATCTATTCAAAAGAGCAACACACAAGTTTCTTGCTCATTCTTTTTGTAATGAATCTGCGTTCCGAATGAGTGGTAGAATAAAAATACACTACACTTAGACATTTATTTATCCATACAAACATTTGCGTTTATAATATTAGCAAAAAATAAAATATATACAGATGTACCTTGAACACTTCCAGTATATTAGAGAGTTGGTCAGGATATTTGGAGAGCTTGGTGAGTGCTCCGGAGACGATGTTCCTCTCCTCAAAGCTGAGGAAGTTGAGTGGCGAGTCGGCGGTGGGCACGTGTGGGATTGGCTCGAGGAGGGGCGCACGCTCCAGGCCGGGCTGCGTGAGAGCCTCCCCAACTGTCGAGTTGAACCGCTCGTACTCCACGTACCGGCGACGGCCAGGGGCGCAGAATCTGATTATATTAGTTAATAATAAGTCTTCTTTCAACATACTATATAAATTATTTTTAACTTGTGCAATTTCATCTCCATTACACTTAACATTTATCTATTACTAACTGTTCCCGTGACTTCGTATGCGTGGAATTTAACTTTATATTTCTAAAATAAAAGTAGCCTAAGTTACTCCTTATTACATCAGCAGCTACCTGCCAAAAAAAGTCTCGTCAAAATCGGTCCAGCTGTTTCAGAGATTAGCCGGAACAAACAGACAGACAGACACAAAAACTGTAGAAACTGTTATTTTGGTCTATGTACCGTATTTATATTCATATGCATGTAGTAAAAAACGGTTATTTCAATATTACAAACAGACACTCCAATTTTATTTATATGTATAGATATATTGGCCAATTTACATAATATATTTTGAAATTATACCCTATGTGTTAGTCTGATTATCTAATATATAAAATTCTCGTGTTATATTATATATAAAAGTTAGTTACCATACTGCTCTGAAACGGCTTGGCCGATTTTTATGGAATTTTATATGCATATTCATTAGGTCTGAGAATCGGCTACTGTCTATTTTTCATACCCCTAAGTGATAAGGGTTGTCCACGCCTAACGTTATTGTTTTATTTTTTGGGAAAAATTTTTTATTCATTTTTTTTTATGTGTCATTAAAAATACATACAACCCTAAATTTTCACCCTTCTATCACCAACCCCTATTTTTTTATAGCGTTATTAATTTAAAACCTAATAAATTAGTTCTACTTGGTAGTTAGTATTCACACGTTTCGACTTGTAAAATGTGAACTTACAAGGATTATTTAAAAGAGCAACACACAAGTTTTTTGTTCGTTCTTCTATGTAGTCATGAGACAGCGTTCCGAATGAGCGGTAGAATAAAAAAAAATGTTGTCTATTCAAAAGTGCTTACATGAAGTTTATTTGAATAAATGATTTTCTATTCTATTCTACATGTAGGTACACTCGGGCGAAGCCGGGGCGAGTAGCTAGTTATGTTTATAAACTGAAATATAAAGATTCTATTTTTTCTTTTCTTTTTTGGTCTGTATGTAGCACCCATGCGATGGACCGACCAAATCAAAGCAGCAATAGGCGGTCCACTCCACGAGTGTACCAGAATGGCAGACAGTAGAGACAAATGGCGAGCTGTCGTGCGCCGGATGACATCAGCCTCACATCCCACTACGTAATAACCAACCGTTCTGACAAGAACGAAGCGAATGAGAAGAGAAGAGATGTAGCATTACTTACACCTCCATGAGGGTGTCCATTTCGAGTGGTGTCAGCGATAGTCCAGCGGCGGCGAGGCCCCGGTAGAAGTCAGCGCGAGGTATCACCTGTTCCTTCTGTTTGTCGAACTGCCGCAAGAAGTCTCCAGGGCGTACGCCTTCCCGCACCATCTAATACCAACAATATATAGGGATCACCATTCTTTAATGGATGTGGATGGAGTGCTTTGATAACGGATTTTTTCGGACTTCTGTAACGCTATTGGCAGCAATTGGGCTTGACAGCTTAATCGGACTATAGGGGGCAAGTGCAGATGAGTGCGTGATCCAAACTCTCGGAAGGACTTATAGAGAAGTGAAGCCCAACTTCTGCCTGACGTATGCGAATTTAGTCTGAGGACACCGCTAGGGATTTGAACCATGGCTAGGGCCACCGTAATTTGATCCCTGTTTGAATTGGGAGGGCAGGATGGGGGATCGATCGATCGGTGGAAGTTGACGAGAGCCGTTTACCATAAGAGGGTTGTGGTTTTTGTTGACTTAGATGAAGACTAGAGTACAGATGAGTATTTAGTATGACACATGCATTAAAAACATGTCAGAATTTATACCAACAATGAAATAACCAGTAAATGTTTGTAGTTGCAATAGTATGTTATAACACTAGCTGATCCCGCACACGTTCTTATGAGGTATTAAAATCACTATTAAAAAATAGGGGTCGGTAATAGAACGGTGAAAATTTAGGGTTGTAAGTATTTTTATATGCCGTAAATAATAAATAAAAGAAAATTGACCAAAAAGTAAAAAAAAATGTTAAAGGTGGACAACCCTTATCACTTAGGGTATGACTCCGATTCTGAAACCTACTGAAAGTGCATATAAAATTTTGTGACACGAGAATTTTATATATATACACATGGACATACCTTCCCCTTGATCTTGGCCAGTATGTGCACGATGTCGGTCTCCCGAGGGTCGTCCACGGTCCGGGCAGCACGAGGAGCCACCGCCGGGCCCGCCACCATCGCGCTCTCCACAGGGCGCTCCTCCAACTATATACACATCATACACTTCACATAGTTCTCTAACCTTCTTACCCCTCCGATAGATCCCTCATCTAAATCAAACGGGGATCGAAATTGCGACGGTCTGAGCCGAAGGTTCGTTCGTTCGCGGTGCCCTCAAACTAAAGTCGTAGTTGTCCTTCAGCCACTCCATAAGCCCTTTCTTTGGTTTGGAGTGCCATCTGCACTCGCCCCGTATCGTCCGGCGAAGCTGTAAAGGCCATCTGCGGTCAACAGCGTTAGAGTAGTCCGAAAAAAAAACTTCTTTAACCTTTTTTAATTCACTAGAGAACTGTTTCTGTTAAATGGGCCACGCTCTTGATCGCGCGTGACACAACGTGTGCTATTGTCGTGAAAGGTCTAAGAGAGAGACAGAGATATAGAGAAGGAAAGAGAAAGAGAAAATAAATAAAAGAGAGGGAGCTAAAGAGAGAGTGAGTGTGTGTTACCTCTTGGAGGAGCCGCACGTAGCTGAAGCCACAGTCGTCTAGGTAGCGGTGTTCGAGCGCGCGCACGTGTGCGGCGGCAGGCAGCACGCCCAGCCGGGCCAGCACGCGCCGCACTTGCGCGCGCGACACGTGCCCGTTGTTGTGTCTGTACCATATAATTTTACTAGCTAGCATATATAGAGTCACGTGGGGCAAGTGTACGCACTTAAGGTTTGAAGTATTGTACTCATGTACTGTATGAGGAATAAAACCCGCGATTATCGGTCGTAAAGCGGTGTTAACCCTCTAGATTACTAAGTCCGACAATGATGGACCGTATGCTTGGTTGCCAACATCGTAGTATAAGAAAAAACTTGTTTCGTTTTCATCGAAACCTCTTCTTTTTTAACCTCACAAGTTGAAACTGAAAAACGGTTCTAAGACCTTGTCCGTGGTGCTGTCGATGTATGTATGGAAAGGCTTTGGTGGTTTAGCGGTTCAGCACACCGGTTTACTTCCGATGGTGGCAGGTTCGATTCTTTGTACCGTATATACATTCATGACTATGTTTGTTTCGGTCGGTCGGTGTTCTGTACACACGGGTTCTTGAGCCCACTCTGTTAGAGGCACGCGCGGACACTACGCGCGCCTCTCTTTTCCTTCATCTTCCATTCCTTACATCACCCTTCTTACGTGACGACCCAGAGTCTCTAGGCTCTGAGTCGTTGGCGACGGGCCTTGAGATTCAGCCTTACAACCATGGTCTCCGTTTCTTCTTGTGGCTCCCTTCCTTCAGTTCTTACCTGCCTACGTCGTGATTCGCCATATGCTGTATGCATCCCGGTGCTGCGCAATAGACTCAGTGCGACGGGGTCGTACAATCGGCAGCCTTAGCGCTATCCAGTCCTAAACTAAGCAGAGCATGCTTAGCTTAGGACTAGATGGCGCTGTGTGAATTGTACAGGGTGATTATTATTACGTATATACATACTCGTCGTGCTCCGAGAACGCTGGCCGCAAGTCGAGGCTGCGCTCCCGGCACGCGGCGCGCACGCGCAGTAGTGCCACCTGCGCCGCGTCCAGCGCCGCCTCTCCCGCCTCCAGCCCCCCCGCCCCCGTCGCTCCCCCGGCCCTGTCCTCCGCGGCACCCCGCGCCGGCAGCCGCGCCACGGCCGCCGCCGCAGCTCCCGCAACTACCGTGGGGTGCTTCTCCAGCTCTTTGATTGTGAACACTGCGCATAGAATCGTGATAAGTTTGTCGCGATGGGCTAATAAATCTGCCCTCATGTACATCCTATCATCCTCCACTGGCGACACGCCAGCGGCAGTGCCATGGCATTGAATTGAGTCGATCAAAGAGGTTTCCATACCCCGTAATTATACTCCCTATCAATATCAATCAAATGGAAATATATCTTACAAATCTATCTGCTTGGCAACTAAAATATATGAGCCTAAGGTACCCAAAGAGATGACTTCGGTTATAATACCGATACACTCTCCAAAATGTTATGGGTTAAGAAAAAGAAGACGATTAGAAAAAGTTTCAGCTGATACCTTGATCGCAATCGTCCTCGAAGGTGCGCCAGCAGACGCGATCAGCGTCGTTGGGGTCGAGGTAGTGGCGCATCACGCACAACACCTCGTTGGGGTCCAGCACTGAGCCCAGACCCATGGCATCTACTGCTCGCCGGAACTGCTGCGGGCCGATGCGTCCGCTGTTCAATGGGTCGTAGTCCTTCAACAACATATGTAAACATACACCCACTTCTACTTGCTTCACCCCTGTACTAAGCCCGGGTAAAGAGCAAAGGCTCAGGGCCGATAATACAGCAAGCTCTTAGCTTGTATATAGCCTTGTATCATGTCATACGTTACGTTGAAAGTCTCATTCTACGACAATATACACTGTCAGTCTCCAGTCAATCACGACGTCAGTTTATCTGTCGTGAATAAGGTCTGTTATTGGGAGTGGTTGGTTTTGGGTGACTTGACTACGAGCTGTTGAAGGGAAGTGACGCTTGTTATTTTAATTATTAAATCGTACATTATCTAAGTAATCGTTGTTTCATTTCTGAGGTTAGAGAATTGACTCTCACTTGGGACTAGTCTACCAAAGGCTGGGTGATTTGTTTTGTGATTGTTATTATTAATGCTATTATTCCTATTATACATAATTTTGTACCATTTTGTCAGGGAAAGAAGTGAAAATGTGGGTGGTTATATTTGTCAGTCGTACCTTTAGATGTTTCGAAGGCTCCAATATTCTCCAGCACTTCAAGGGTCTAGGGTTAAACACTTAGTTTTACCACTCGTTTTAGCTATATGTTAGGAACGTCGTGTCCTCATGTCGGGTCGTGAGGTGTGGTCTTTGCAACAGTCAATGTCATGGTAGGGAAAAAGAGGATATGCAAAAAACGTCTAGCTACATTTTTGAACAATAACAACTCTGACAAATTCACACAGCATCATCTAGCCCCAAGCTAGAAAGAGCAAGCAGAACTTGTGTTATGGGTACTAGACAACTTTGTAAATGCATACATAATATACATAGAAAATACCTAGATCGATACTAGATGCAGGGTACGGGAACTGAGCCTCGGGTCCTTACCAGGACACAATGCGGAGGTGATGTAAGTAGCAGTAGTATCTGCTGTTTACGACAGTAGCCCCTTACAATTCAGTGGGTTCAAAAAAGTATTTCAATTGAGTTTCTTGCCAGTTCTTCTCAATTGGATCTACATATTGAACTGGACGGTAGAAAAAAAGTTATATAATATAAAAAAATTAACGTTCATAAGCGGCTAAAATGTCCTACAGGAATAAATGATTTTTGAATTTGAATTTGAACAATTATATATGGAAGCACGACATCTCCTCCACGGCAGTGTATGAGGGGTACTATAGGCGACCCATGATAACGTGATGTCCATGGCTATTCGTGCATATTACATGAAATAAAATAATAATAATAATAAATTTATTTCATTAACATAGATGTTTTACAATTTTTTTTTTTACATATCAACAATCACATATTCTTATTTATATATTTCCTTAAGCCGGGGCTGGGATCTCCTTGTAAGCATAATTAAATACTTGTGATAGGAGATCACAAGTATTTAATTCTAGGGTTATTTATTATTATATTAAGAATTTGTTTCTACTGTAAAAGACTGTGTGTGTGTGTGTGTATGTATGTAAGTGTGGAAGGGTGTTCGGTGTTTATTAAACTATTATAATCATTGTATATATATTACATTGTGACTACATTCCTCAGGACTACAGTTCAATTGCTCACAGACCATGCTGCCATCCAGAACTGTACAAAATAGCTTCAATTACATGAAATAAAAGCTTACCCTAAAGAACTCAGAGACCCTGATACGCCTCTGCAGAACGAACTCTTGCACTCGCAGCATGAGGTCGACGAGATGCCTTGGTGGTGGGGACGGCGTGAGTGCCGGGTGGAACACGTCGGTGGCTCCCAGCGGCGACGTCGACATCCTTGCCTCCACTTCCGGCCGAGACAGCTTCGGCAGACTCGTGTCGATCATTGCGCTCGGATTCTTGTATTCCTGATCATCATTATGGAAGTATCTTAATGGATGATGACTTAATTCATGATTGATGACGATAATTAATAACTTGTGCTCTCGGCGATCAATAACTGATTAATTTATATGGAATACAACCTTTGCTGCGTCAGCTAGTAGGTTTATAAAAATAATAAACTTATGTCGTCTGATAAATATGGCGTCTGATGGTATATATGATAGAATAAGCCTGAATTATTCTTAGTTTTTATTTAATGTTGTAACTAATCCTGAATGTTTAGATTATATATATTTAAGTTTGTTATTGTCCAATCTTATTATTGTAATCTTGTTATTGTCAATTTTAATGTTTACTTTGTTAGTGGTAGTTTAGAACTTAACTTAATACGCTATCGTCGTCGTTGATCTCACATTGTATTATTTTACTGATAAAGGCTATAACAGAATAGCAGAGAGGGTGGACTCACTGCCCTCACTGAGTTATAGACCGTTTTGTCTCATTCATTAGTTTTAAATTATATTATTGTATGGGCAACAGTTGTATTGTGTGAAAGTTTTTGTTTGAGACAAATAAAAATTATTATTATTATTATATTTTGTTTATTTATGAAATTATAACGGGATGATGTGATATTTCACAGATGCTATTAACATTAAAAAACACATCATCATAGTCTTGTGTTAAGGTAAGCAGAAACAAAAAATGGATTGAACTACACCAACCAAAAGTATTAACATCAGAACGGCATTATATCTAAAGAATGGTTAGAGAGTCCATTGAAATACAGAAATATAAAAATTTCAATCGAGAAGACGGCTATAGGCTCTCTAATGCCTGGAATCCAGTGATTGGTTTAATTAAACAGAAACAAAAAACGCGATCGAAAAGTGTATTAAATGTATGTGAAGATACTGTGAGTACAGTTAGCCGAGATGAATATCGAGCGAGTTCCAGTAGTAGCAACAAACGAAGACGTGTGAAGGTAGACGAATATGTCTGACCATAAAAAGATTTCATTTTCCATCTACCCGCTGCTCTTCAGTTTACCCGTGATCATGGCAGTTGAAACACTGCCGAAATATCGGGAACTCAGCAAATAAATGCAAAACGTGGTAAGATCCCGTGATTTTTACTAATTGTACGTAGAAACAAAAAACTCCTAATGCACGAGTCACTCTTTTGCCTTCTTTGTATTTATCAACGTATTCAAGTACAGCCATTCAGGCTGTACAATCTCGCCGGTTAAAATAATATAATCGCTTTTACCTTTTCCCTTTTCTACTGCCATTTATTCGATTCAATTCTGCTAAGTGGCTGAATCTCTAGACACTTCCAATGGAATCGAAACTTAAGTGAAGTTAGGGGAAAAATTAAAAGGTAATGAAAAATAAATAATTAGTTACTTACTGGATTTATATTATTTTGTTTATTTCCGCTAACGTTAGCATGTGTGAGACTACAAATATTCAGAGCGACAAAACTGCGACTCTACCTCTACGATATCACCTCTGTGACTATCGGTATCACCAAACAGTCAACTAGGCTTTTAGGCTATATCCGAACTCTATTCAATGATGATGCCTCGTTCAGAGGCGAAAAACATATCGTAATATGGGACAACACTGAGTAACGGTCGGAATTTGATCACCAATAGAGTAGGTCGTAATGCATCCAGTAGTGATGGTCAGGTTTCCGCACTGAATATTTATGGTCTCACACATGCTAATGGTAGCGGAACTAAACAAAATATTAATTCATTAATAATGAAATGGACTTTCGTCAAATAACACTTAATTAGGTTTAAAACAACATTATGAAAATACATAATTACGGTTTAAGATTTTTTATATTTTTAAAATTAGAATAGAAATCTGATGGAGTGAAATTACAGGATAAGAGGAATGAGAAACGAAACGGGTTCACGTGACAACATGATGTCCGTAGTGTTGTTCATGTTCGGGGACAGTTACCACTTCCTATCAAATGAGTGGTCGACGTATTTGATACCAAATTTCTCCAATTTCTTCTATTGCTTACACGCAAAACATAAAATTGGATCTTCTTTCGTATTAATAGCAACCTAAATTGTAGACCAGACCCTAGCAACTTCTATGGCACAATCGGTCGCCTTGTTCAGGTCTTCTAGCAGGATGATGTACACAAATGCCACGACAGGAGATGGAGTATGGTTTGGGACGGGGCACCGCAGTCACAAGATTGATAGGAGCATGACGGGAGAGTCTCCTCGCGGCACACCTGGAAACAGCTAAACACGGTAACTAAGTTGACCAATTCTCCAACCACAATGGCAACCCAAATAGCTAAATCTGTTATGCTAAGCAAATGACTTTTAACACTTAGATACTTCATGATAAGAACATATATTTACCGGACCAAGTCCCCGTATGCCCTCCCTCTTGACGGCATCCACAGCTTTGAGAAACTCGACATAATCCAGAGTGTACGAGTCCTTGATGAACCTGCGCACCAGCAGGTTGAAGTCCTCGGGAGACACCAGCACGCCGATGTAGTTGAGTATGCGCGCGAAGTGAGCGAAGGTAATTCGCCCATCGTTCTTGGCTACCTGCACGATGAAGGAAGACTTTTTTTTATAAAAAATCAGTATATATTAGCTTTTGAACAGAATCCGACTTGGACCAAATGCCCCGACCAAATGCATTTGTGTTATGGGTACTAGACAACTGATACAAATACATAGAGTTTTTTTTCGTAAATACATACATATTATACATAGAAAACACTCAGACCGATATAAACAATCATACTCATGAATACAAATGTTTATGCCGTGCGAGGAATCGAACTCGCGACCATCGGTCGTAAAGCGGTGTGCTAGACCGCTAGACCACCGAGGTGGTCAACTTAACAACTTTAACCCGCGTCTTCGCTCGCATTGAATTCACTAAATAAGTATCGTAGATCAATACAATAGACATAAATCAATATGATGAATATACTTTGTAGCAAATGTTTTTTTTTAATGACTTGGACCAAATGCCCCGACCATGCATTTGGTCCAAGTCGGATTGTTTAAAACCAAGCAAGCTCTCAAGGTAAGTCCATCCCATCCATCCATCCCAAATGCCCGGTATACGCCAAATTTCACGATTATTCGTTTTTCACAAAAAAAGTAAAAAAAAACTATCACTTTTACATTTTAACATTTAGTTCCCAGGAATGGCAAAGAGATGTCCGTAGTGCTATTCATGTATATAGGCGCCGATTACAGTTTAAAATTTCAGTGATATAAATGTGATTATATGCTTGCCAGTTCGTAGTCCTGGAAGTAGGGTTTCAGTGGTATCTCCCTGGCGGCGATGGTGGCCAGCAAGCAGTACAGGCGCCGCGTCTGCCACTCGCCCAGCTGGTGGCAGGCGGGCTCCGGCGGCGGTGGGCACGCCTCCAGCAGGCAGTCCGCTGACGTCCTGTGTCCACCGCCAGCATCTGTGCCCGAACCATCTAGCTCGTATTTGATCATCTGACCTAATCGACCATACTGACTATAAGCAGGTTCAGGAGAGGTTATGCAAAAAATGCTTACTTACTGTACAGGACTCCTTACATTCGGGCCGCTGGCTGGCACGACAATTCCCTATTTTGTGTTATTCTGATGTATAAGCTGAAAGTTTTATCAAAATCCGTTCAGTAGTTTTTGCGTGATAGAGCAACAAACATCCCAACTTTCGCATTTATGATATTATTAGGAAAACGATTAAGGATTAAGGCTGGATTTCACCAAAGAAACCGATCGCGTTTAGTTCAAACTGAACGCCATTAAAACGTTTAAACTTGTTTGTTAATGCGGTCGAAGACCAAAAAATGTTAAAGCGGTTCCCTGGGGAATTTGTATCCCGAGAGATATTTTCCTTCTACAAGACTGTCGTCACAGGTCACGATTCGGGGAAATTAAGGAGTTACAAGTTTCTGCTATGGCGGCTGCTGCAGGAACCTAACTGGTCACCACACAACACGTGCGGCGGAATTAGTATATATACACCTTGTATATTACATACACCTTGATAATTCGATAATTTATATTAAATCGTAGTGATTCAATTATTATAAAACGTAATTATGTGCAAGCGGCGTTTCTCAGACACGAGCGGGCGCGAACAGATCGCCATCTTTTTCCCAGCAGCGGCGCGGGTGTACTCGGCTCTTTTCGGCCCTAGATCGTGAAGTATGTCTGTCCTTGTCTATTACACGAGATGTGCATTTAATCTAATTGTGGCGCAAAGTGTTTACAGCTTCATTTTGAATTTCACTACTAAATTTCGCTAAACACGTTTATAAGCTGTCAGTTGTCAAATAGTCATCAATCAAATTTTTGACAATATAATATCGGAAAAAAAAATCTTCAATAAAATAATATTTTACCTTGTTTATAGGTTTTTTTTTTATTGGGTTGTTTGGGCTATTGTCAGATGTGTAGCACCTGTAGCACTGCGACCTACATAGATCTATTGTGCTCGCCCTTTTCAGAGTTCGCTACCTAGACCCGTCAGGGACAAGAATTGAAGGATATTCTTAGGAGCGATCGTTTTTATCTCCTCCTGTTTATAGGTAAAGGTTGTTACTTATTAAATTAAAAGGTAAAAAGTTATCCTAATTATCACATAGGAATTACAAATATTTCTTAGAATTATTTTATTTAAATTACCCATTGCATCAAATATTATTTTATGAGCGTGTAACACTGTGAACGAATGAAAATCTAAACTTCATTTTGGTAAACGCGATCTATATAACGCTGGTGAATTCCATTAAAGTAAAACGAGATCAGCTTCATTCTTTATTCGAGTTTACGCTGAACTCCGTTTCCTTGAACGTGTTTATACTATGATTGGTGAAATCCAGCCCAAGGATTTCCATAGGATACCTTCTCCATGTATGATCTGGCAGAGCTGGTGGTAGAGCACGCGACCGTCCTGCGACCGAAAGTAGTCCGCCAACTGTGAAATCTCCGCGTCGGACAGTCCGATCACCGAGCGCAGGGGACCAGCCAACACCGACACGAATTTGGATTCTGTCAGGATATCAGCACTTATACAGATTACTTTTTTTTTTTAGATGAAATGACATTTTATCATAACTACATGGTATTAAACAAAGTTGTTGTCGCTGTCTGTCCGTATGTGTCGCTTTTATATGTATATCTGTATCTTTAAAACTACGCAACTGATTTTGAAGCGTGTCTGTTTGTAATATTGAAATAACCGTTTTTTATTACATGCATATGAATTTAAATACGGTACATACACCAAAATAATATTTTTTACAATTTTTATCTGTCTGTTTGTTCCGGGTAATCTCTGAAATGGTTGGACCGATTTTGACGGCACTTTTTTTGGCAGGTAGCTGAAGTATTTTGGAAAGATTGTTTTATTTTGGACAATAAAGTTAAATTCCATGCGGATGATGTCGCGGGAAAAGCTACGTATTACGTTCATAATACGTCAATAGATCTTAGTTTTAGCTAATAACTAGCTTTTGCCCGCGTCTTCGCTCACGTTAATTTATCCCCTTAAGGGTGGAGTTTATCAAAATCCTTTCTTAGGAGATGCCTACGTCATAACATCTACCTGCATGTTACATTCCAGCCCGATCCGTCCAGTGGTTTGGGCTGTGTGTTGATAGATCACTATGTCAGTCACCTTTGAGTTATATATATATATATATATATATAGATATACAAAGCATATAAAGTCTAATTTTAAAGTTGCAACGCCGCATAATATACGGGTAGGTATCAAATTATGGAAGGTGTGTCATACCAGATATGAGAGAGTTTCCTTCAGGGTCGAGCGGCCGGTACCAGTCCCATAAGTTGAGCCCCACGCGGAACACCGCCGCCCGGATCTTGTTGCATGTCTTCCATACATCCGCAAGGCGGATTATCTGTACATACATACATTTATTAGACATTTTACAACACAAATACAAACTACAAATACTAAGATTTTTTTATAGGTAGTACTTTAAGTTGTTTTTTATGTTTTGTTAATTGTTAATTGTAAGCACAAATTTGTCACATACATATCGTAGTTGTCTATAATTAAGATTGCGCTTAGTATAATATATAGATTGTAATATTACATATATATTGTAGTATTAATATAACACTGTTACATTATATCTAAATATTATAATATATAGATACAGTGGACCCGCGGTAATCCGGCCCCCCTTGTAATCCGACATTGTCTATTATTTGTTATTGAATATTACTTTGACAATATACATCAGAGTGCATATACATACATACATATATAACATAGAATCTTATCACTGGATCTGTAATTTGTCGGATTACAAGCTACTCTTTTGTAAAAAATTCCGGACTATAAGCAGAGGACCCTTAAGCAGCACTCTATAATATAATCCGACAAATACGATGGTCCGACACTGCCCTGCAAAACGTTTGTCGGATAACCGGGGGTCCACTGTATATGTATATAATATAAAGAATCATCATTGGATCTATAATTTGTCGGATTACAAGGTACTCTTTTGTAAAAAAAATTCGGACTATAAGGGGTCTTAGGCAGTACTCTATAATCCGACAAATTCGATAGTCCGACACTGCCCTGCGAAATGATTGTCGGACTACCGGGGGTCCACTGTATAATGTAACAGTGTTGGTGTAAACCTTGTTGGTGACCTAATAAATAAATAAAATATATATATAATTTATGTATCACACTTTTCACCAGAAACTGGCATGCAAAAATTAACAATGTCCATTTATTATAAGAGTACAAAGTGTTCTGCGTAGTGTAAGAAGCACTACTTAAGATGGATGACTGAGGCTTTGAAGCCGGCTACCGCAAGGGAAACCCCAAGTAGCGCCCGTGACTTGTGACACGGGTGTAGGTTTAAAAGGCCCTTTTAGAATGCATTAACACTCACCTTCACTACTTGCAGCTTCCCCCCAGGCCCAACTAAGACCGGGATAAACCTATTTCTAATACAATTCACTTTTGTATCCAAAACACAACTGGCACGCTCTGCGCTCGTCGACTGAATGCCGCGGCTCACGCAACGAAAGAGGATTATTCAACTACCGACCTCTGTATTTATAGACCAAAGTGAGTGTAGTAGGTTGGTCTATAAATACTAGATGGCGCTATTTACAATATTCATAATAATCCTTACATTGTGTACTTCATTAATACTAAAAACGAACTACCTTCTTTTAATATATTTTTGAAATATCGGATTTTTTCTACAATAATGATGTGAATTCTAACAGTAGGTACCTCTGTTTCACTTATTTCAACAGTGTTTCTGATGAAATATATAAAGTAGTGAAATTATATAGTATGAGAAATAATCATTATGCAAATTAACTCAATACAAGCACTATTGAATCATTACATAGTATAAAATAAAGTCGCTGTCGCTGTCTGTCCCTATGTATGCTTAAATCTTTAAAACTACGCTACGGATTTTGAAGCGGTTTTTTAATAGATAGAGTGATTCAAGAGGAAGGTTTACATGTATAATGCATGTACCCCCGGGCGAAGCCGGGGTGAGTAGTTAGCAGTCATATATGGAACGACTTTTAGTCGTCTAGCAATGTATGAGGGGTACTATATGGTAAAACGATGAAATTTGTCAGCAAAAATTGATAGCTTCAGTGGTCTAGTGGTTTAGCATATCGCTTTACTATCCGATGATCGCGGGTTCGATTCCTCGCACGGTACAAACATTTGTATAGATTGATTGTTTGTATAGGTCTGTTTTCTATGCACAATATGTATGTATTTAAGAAAAAAAATATTTATGTATTTGTATCAGTTGTCTAGTACCCATAATACAAACTAGCTAGTTTAACTTGGGTCTAGATGGCGCTATGTGAATTGTCCTCAGATTATTATTATTATATTATAATTTTAGAGTGGTATGTATTTTTTAATGCTGAATCTAATAAATTATATTTAAAAAAATGTCAAACAAACAATAAATAATATTTAGGAGTGGGTCACCCTTATCAATGAGGGGTATGAAAAATAGATGTCGGCCCATTCCCAGACCTACCTGATTTGCAAACAAAATTTCATAAAAATCGGTAAAACCGTTTCGGTGGAGTTTGGTAACAAACACTGTGACACGAGAATTTTGTATATTAGAATTTTGGATTTTTAAACAGTTGGTTTTATCTATTTTTCTTTAATATATATGTTCCTATAATTACAATATATTTTACAATAACTCCTACAGCGATTCATATAGTATTCATCTATACATATAAATAAAATTGGAATGTCTGTTTGTAATAATGAAATAATCGTTTTTGCATGTGAATATAAATACGGTACATACACTAAAATAACATTTTTTTAAATTTTTGTCTGTCTGTCTGTTGGTTCCGGCTAATCTCTAAAATGGCTGGACCGATTATGACGGGACTTACTTTGGCAGGTGGCTGATGTAATAAGGAGTAGCTTAGGCTACTTTTATTTCAGAAAAATAAAGTTAAATTCCACGCGGACGAAGTGGCGTGTACAGCTAGTAAATATATATGTTTGTAATAAGTAAAACAATATATTAAATCTTCATAGTCAGAGATCGATATAATATAAATTGCTATAATACATACACAGAACACAACTTACAGTGTCATGCATTCTTATGATTTATTGCTTGAAATAATGTTTTTTAATAAACGCTATTGAAATATGTAATTTTTGCACAGAATTTTGAAAGTTCAATGAAAACGATGTCAAATGTAATAGGCGCCAAACACGATATGTCAAATTGACAGTGTGACACAGATAATAATTATATATTTGTTTGAATTTCGAACATAGTAAAAGTTTGTTTTTTTTCCATATTCGTCCATCTCCATTTCAATGATGGAACAGGCAAAGATCCGTACAGCCTAGTATCAGCAAAAAGTTTTTTTCTTTTTTTCTTCTTTTGGCTCCGGCTTCTTGAACACCAAAAAGTTATAATAATGATTTGATGACTTAAAAAAATATAAGATCGGTTACTGTTGTGAATTATTATTTTAAAAATGGTATAATTCATTGAGCAAACAATTAGGTACCAATACGAATATTTACAATAAAGTTTCGACATTCCAAACATCAATTAGGTATTTATTAAAATTACAACAATAATTTAAAAGAGTTACACGCAAGTTTCCTACTTGTTCTTCTTGTGATGAGAAAGCTCTCCGGATGATAAACATGATTCTTTTTAATCCACCATTAAAAAAATATGACTCTTCAAAACTGCTTAATTTAATTTTTTTTAATAAATGATTTTCAGTTATATTCTATTGTGACAGCCCGAGAGACAAATCCAATAAATTTAACAATGAAAATAAACTATCGGTTTATATATTTAATTAACTAAACTAAACTAACCTACTTATTTACTGACCTAGTAGGTACATATGGTACTTATCGAAAGTCAGGATGATTATAAAATATATGCAGTGAATGTATATTACGTTATATATTATTATCTATACACGTACATATAAATGAAATTGGAGTATCTGTTTGTAATATTGAAATAACCGTTTTTTACTACATGCATATGAATATAAATACGGTACATATACCAAAATAACATTTTTTACTATTTTTGTCTGTCTGTCTGTCTGTTTGTTCCGGCTAATCACTGAAATGGCTGGACCGATTTTGACGGGACTTTTATTAGCAGGTAGCTGATGTAATAAAGAGTAACTTAGGCTACTTTTACTTTAGAAAATGAAAGTTAATTTCCACGCGGACGAACTCGCGCGGAACAGCTAGTAATATATATAATATGTACATTTCTGTTTCAAATTACAAATGCGTGGGCCATTTGATAGAACTAATTAAGAAGACCTGAACTAATGAAATGCTGATTGATCAATTGTTACATTAATGGTGTAATTTCCAACACCCTTAGTAACAAGTAAGACAGGTCTCCATGAATCTTCATCACGTCTATCAAGTATTCCCTATGGGCTTCAACGAACTTCCAAAACTACTTATACCTAACACGAAACCTTCGGACATCCATTACAAATTTCAGTCATCAATCAATTTGTCAATGAGTCGATACCATACCTCCCGACAACCTACTAACGACATATAATAACAGTCCACCAAAATGTGTTCAATGATACAAAAATGCTTACGTGCACAACGCTATACGAGACTATAGTAAAAAGCAGGTGATGTATATCAAACAACACGAAGATAGTTGACCTTTGTATTGGGTCGGTCATATGGGAAGAGGTACAGGGCATGCGCGGTGGCTGCTGGCTGCCACGAATGACGTCAGGGGAATCGATCGCGCGCCCGGCGCACCTTGCGCATTTCCCCCGTCCATTCCTCGTCGCTGTCACATTGTTAACACGTGAGCCGATCTGCATCTCCCGTGCTCGCAGCGGCCCGTACTTACGTAACGTGGGCGAGGACACCAATTTTGATGTCTGTGGTTCGGGTCACGCGCGCTCATGTGCGGGCTAAGCTTTAGGACCAGGAATAGTCCTTCGCAGAAAACCTCCCTCCGATGGGGCGACAGCTGCGCTATCGCAGCCAGACCTAGCACGTAACACCCTCGAGAACTCGAACTGTCTCCGATACTAGTTTGTTTGACCGTGAAGCCTGATAGTGTATTTATATGAATATATTTTAGATGGTTCGTGTTTCTATAGTTGTTATATTGCACTTTGAAATGACTGTGGTGAACATTTGGGGTGCGTGAGATTTTGGCGTCGTGACACCACGACAGATATACGTTTTCAAATAAGTGAGTATTAAGTTGAATAAAAAACTTTAGTTGTTTTGTAATAGTGGAAGTAATATGTTAGACAGGGGCGGATGGTGAATTTGTCGGGTTTTGGCCTAAATCTACTTAGGAGCCGACCTGATTATATTACTGAACTAAAAAAATACACCGACCAAAAACAAGTGACCAGAAATTCCCCGTTCCTTTCGATAGATGCGCACTTGCATGTGTTGATTGATCTCAGGGTTGCCAAACTTATGATAGATTTTTTAACATTCTAGATATTTTTTTTATACTCCAAATATCGTTTCAGTGGGGACTGGGGGTCCTTTGTATCCTCGGGGCCTTGGGCTGCAGTCCAAAAAGCCTTTAGGTAGATCCGCCTTTGCATTTAGAAGCCTCGCTGTTGTCGGTGTAGCTCTATCCACTTCCCACCATTTCCCACCATTCCCATCTTCCATCATCCTCTTTAAATGTTGATATGATACGATTCCAATTTTGCCTTGGTTTTGCCTTCTCCATCTTTCTTTCTATTTTTACCTCAATGATAGTTTTCATAAATTCACGATGCCGTATCTCGTATCGTATATGAATAGCACCTATTTACGATTTCAGATAATAGATCGATCGATTACTTGTACGAATATATAATAAAATAGCAAAGAATCTCGATTAAAAGGAACATTAATAGTCTAGTTTTATAAATAAATTAATAAAAAAAGACAAGAGTTAGTTTAAGATGGGTACAATACTCGATTCAGCGCCCACCCAAAATTACTAAGTCTGTAAAACTTCAAATTTGAAGATTGGTTTATTTTGTTACGTATATGCTAGAAAGATATTTTGGAAATTCTCATTCGTGGGAGTAAGTGTGATAAATGGTGCTACTCGGGTGAACCCGTGTGTAAGCAGCTAGTATCATAAATCATAAATAAAAAATCGTATAAAATATATAGTAATACAAAATATTTATGTAATAGTTATGAAAAAAATACAAAAAAAATTATTTTAATATTTTATCCATACCGTCCAGTATCTATATCTATCTTCTATCTTAAATATATATAACTCAAAGGTGACTGACTGACATAGTGATCTATCAACGCACAGCCCAAACCACTGGACGGATCGGGCTGAAATTTGGCATGCAGGTGACGTAGATGCAGATGTTGTGACGTAGGCATCCGCTAAGAAAGGATTTTGATTAATTCTATCTCTGCTACCTATCCTATCTTACCTGGATAAAATAGGGGATGATGCAGGATGTAAATGTATTAGTTTGAACCTATCAGTACCTAATGGAACGAATAAAATAAGACGAACAAAATAATTTTTAGCTCTTTAGGCTACTTTTATTTTAGAAAAATAAACGATATATATGTATATACGAAGACATATATGTATATACCACTAAGAAACTAACAAAAAGTAATCGACTTACATTTTGTGCAAAGACAGATCCAGATTATCCGTAAACCTATTAAATTCTCAGTTTGTTTAGGTCGGTTCAATTTAAGGATAGAATAATTTACGATCCACTTTCTTATTCAGATACAAGTGGGACATACAAACAGTCAAGATGATCAACATAGCGGGTGTGATCTCCATCATCCTGTTCTACGTGCTGATCTTGGCGGTGGGCATATGGGCGGGTCGGAAGAAGCCGCCAGGCAATGATTCTGAGGAGGAGGTTATGTTGGCGGGACGCTCCATAGGTCTCTTCGTGGGCATCTTCACCATGACTGGTAAGGGATATTCAAAGTACAAAAAATTCTAAATTCACATTTCAAATTTGAAAACACAATCTTCAAAATTCATAGTGCAATATTAAAAAATAAAATTCGAAATACAACATTCAAAATTTAAAAAATTCTTAAATCAAATACTAAATTCTAAATTCACTTTTCAAATTTCAAAACACAATCTTCAAAATTCATAGTGCAATATTCAAAATTTAAAATTCGAAATACAACATTCAAAATTTTAAAAATTCTTATATAATACTAAATTCTAAATTCACTTTTCAAATTTCAAAACACAATCTTCAAAATTCATAGTGCAATATTCAAAATTTAAAATTCGAAATACAACATTGAAATTTAAAAAATACTAAATTCTAAATTCACTTAACAAATTTCAAAACACAAACTTCAAAATTCATAATACAATATTCAAAATTTAAAATTCGAAATACAACATTCAAAATTTTAAAATCATATTTCTTTATTTAGTTAACACAATTTTAATACATTATATACTTTATGGTTATTGAAGACTTCGTTTAAGCATAAAAATGCCTTTGTATTGACAAAGTTTCCACTATTCAATAGCCTATATACTAAGTTTTTAGAATAATGAAGCTTGGGTTTGTCCACAAGGAAGTCATAATCTGTCTCAGCTATTGCCGCAATTATGCAGCTTGCTTTGTAAGCTGTTTCGGTTGTAGGGTGAACTACATAATACACAGTTATGTCAATCTATACATACAGATGACATTAAAGTATCTGTTTTTAAATTACCAGCTTTGTTTTTAGCCACTAAATGCATATGAAAGTATATGTGGTAATTATAACAATGATTCTCTCCTATCGTTCGTTTAACCTGTAAAGGCCAGCTGCGGCCAAGAGCATTTAAATAGTTCGAACAAAAAAATATCTTGTACAATTACGTGTAAGCACACCATCAAATCTATACACATAAATAAAATTGGAGTGTCTGTTTGTAATATTGAAATAACCGTTTTTTACTACATGCATATGAATATAAATACGGCACATATACCAAAATACCATTTTCTACAATTTTTGTCTGTCTGTCTGTTTGTTCCGGCTATTCTCTGAAATGGCTGGATCGATTTTGACGGGATTTTTTTTTGGCAGGTAGCTAAATTAACTTGGGGTACTTTTATTTCAGAAAAATAAAGTTAAATTCCACGCGGATGAAGTCGCCGGAACAGCTAGTTTAAGAGTATATACATGAGATAGGCTATCTTTTATCTCAAACAGCTATAACGATATGATGGGAGTTAGTGTAATAATATGTACGAGCGAGCGTATGGCTCAATCGATTACACTATAATCGCTTGATCGAACAGCAGCCGCTATCTATCGATTCGTATGTTAGGCCTAGTCTATTTATATAAATAACTTCACGAGCGATAACTACTCACGTAGGGTTGGCAACACCAATTTTTTTAAATCGGTAATAGTAGTTGGAAATAACAGGACATTTTAGTTTAAAAACAGGACACATTAATAGAGTTGCTATAGTTACATTAAAATGTAGTGAAAATAGGTGAAATGAAATAAACGTAATTGTATATATATAGGTACATTACACTACACAGTTAGTAATAAAGATTTATTCTATTCTATTCTTGAATTATTATATTTTTTAATTAAAGTATTTGAAGTATCAAATTCAAAATTCAAATTCAAAATTTCTTTATTCATTTAGGTCTATTACAGACTCTTATAATATGTCAAATCTACCGTCAGTTCTGAATTATTTCAAGATGAGAAGAACTGACAAGAAACTCTGCTCGTATTATTTAAAAAAAAAAATGTTGAACGTGTTAACAATAATACACAGTCATTTAAATCCAGATTTGGGTGAATAGAGTGACAACCAACGTATGCTATTGCAAAACAAAAAATCTAATCAGTGTTCGCAACCTGAACAGACCAGTCCCCACAAGCAGCACCTATTCACGGATATATGACGGAGTATTTTTTTTTTATAACTTAGGGCACAAACGAGCATGCGGTTCACCTGATGGTAAGTGATTACCGCCGCCCATGAGCACCCGCAACACCAGGGGTATTGCAAGTACGTTGTCGGCCTTTTAGAAAGGAATAAGCTCTTTTCTTGAAGGTTTCAATATCGTATCGGTTCGGAAATACTATTGCTGGAAGGTGATTCCACAATGTGGTTATGCGTGGCAAAAAGTTTCTAGAAAACCGCACTGTGGAGGACCGCCATTCATCCAGTTGATCAGGATGGTATTTCAGTTTCTGGCGGGTGATACGGTGGTGAAACTCAGCAGCTGGTATTAATCCGAACAATTCCTCAGAACACTCCTCTTATATGTGCGGTAGAAAAAGCACAGAGATGCAATATTTCGCCGCAAAGCCAATGGGTCGAGTCTGTCACATAGACGTTGATTACCTATGATTCTGGCTGCTCGGTTCTGAATGCGGTCAAATGGAAGTAGCTGGTATTGTGGTGCTCCCGCCCAGAGATGAGAACAGTATTCCATATGCGGCTGGATCTGCGCCTTGTATAATTGCAAGCGATGGGCCGCCGTGAAATACCGTCTCACTCTACTGAGCACACCAAGCTTTTTTGAGGCTATTTTAGCCTTGTCCTCCAAATGACCGCAAAACTGAACGTCACTGGATATATCAACGCCAAGGACCTCGAGATTTGGCTTCACATCAAGGAGAGTGTCTTGAAACTGAGGAGATACGATAAATGGATTCTTTTTAGCGGTAAACGCGCAAACTTGTGTCTTCTTGGGGTTGAATTGAACACAATTTTCCTGACCCCAAACCGAAACTTGATGGAGTGAAGTTTCGATTTCGGACACAAGTTTGTTCCGGTACTCTATAACGTTTGCCTGCGACATATTAGCATGGCCGCTGTACAAGGCATCTCCGGTACTATCATCCGCGTAGCAATGAATGTTGTTGATTTGTAACATGTCATTGATACGCAGAAGGAACAGAGTCGGAGATAGCACACAGTATTTAGGTATACTTTTTAATTTAAAAAATATAGAACCCATGACGCTGATTTAAATCCCTTTTGGACGTCCTCGGACACAAAAAAACCAGGACTTGTCCTGGGAAATCGGTACAGTTGGCTACTGTATACTGACGTCGCATAATAGGATGTTTATTGTTATGAATAAATAATAACTTAATAATAACTGTAATGAGTTTATTAACGATAAATATTATAACCATAACTAATAATATATTTAATAATGAAATACGACGGCCTCGATGGTTTAGCGGTTTAACATACCGCTTTACATCCGATGGTCGAGGGTTCAATTCCTCGCACATTTGTATTCATGAGTATCATTCACCCGCAATGACAAGTTTAACACCCCATCACAGGGAGATATATAATATATATATAAATAATAATAATAAGCTCTTACAGACTCTTATGATATGTCAAATCTACCGTCTAGGTCTATTGACCTACATGAATACAGATATTTTGAATGTTGAATTTTGTTTGAATTGGATGGGGGATCGATCGGAGGGCGAAAATGTGGTGTTTTAATTAAAATGTGGTTTTCGCAGCTACGTGGGTGGGAGGCGGCTACATCAATGGTACAGCGGAGGCGATCTACACCTCAGGTCTGGTGTGGTGCCAAGCACCCTTCGGCTACGCCCTGTCCCTCGTTTTCGGTGAGCAAATGCTCTTACTTAATTAGTAAAACGCTGTGAAAATTGAGAAATACCAACATCGGTTTGAAATAATATCTCAGGACAATTCACACAGCGCCATCTAGTCCCAAGTTAAGCTTAGAGCTTGTTTTATGGGTATTAGACAAATGATACAAATACATAGATATTTTTTATAGATACATACATATACACTAGCTGTTCCCGCGGTTTCATCCGCGTTAAATCTTATATATAAAATTCTCGTGTCACAATGTTAGTTACCATACTCCTCTGTAACGGCTTGATCGATTTTTATGAAATTTTATATGCATATTCAGTAGGTCTGAGAATCGGGTACTATCTATTTTTCATACATATATTTTTTTTATATTTTGGGCAAATTTTTTTATTTATATTTATTTATTGTGGTACAATTAAAAATACATACAACCCTAAAGTTTCACCCTTCGTTATTAATTTATATGGTAAAACAACGTTTGCCGGGACAGCTAGTTTCAATATAAAATATAGTATATATATATTCTGATTTCATTGAGAATGAAAGTGGAAAATAATTTTATTTAATTTTTTTCATGTTATATATATATGTCACAACGCAATGAAAATATTATTGTTTCAATTATTTATTAAGGAAAGTATGAAAACTGGCTTTTTTTCGCTTTACCTACTGTTTTCTCCTTTTTTTAAATGGCGACCTGTTGTTTTTTTTTAGTTTTTTGGGGTTGGCAACACTGTTCCAAACTATATCTAAACTATTGATTGCCTGATGATGCGTCGTTTAGAGTTGAAACACGTATAATATTGGTGCAATAGCTTTGCATTCACAATAAGGCATTCACAATTCATTGAGCTGGGGTTATAGTCACGAAGGTATATTTTATGTTATTACTGTTTTAGGAAATCGAACCTGAGACTATAGGAACGTTTATAGGACAGCGTTATAAACTGTTATCTTACTAATAACAAAAACTACTGAATGAATTTTGATGAAACTACAGTAATAAGCTATAATTTATCCCCTTAGGGGTGGAATTTATCAAAATCCTATCTTAGGGGATGCCTACGTCTTAGTAGCTTTATGCATGCAAAGTCTCAGCCCGATCGGTTTAAAATTGACAAAGTTTCATATAAACTTTCATCCCCTATTTTATCCCTTTGGGGGTAGAATTAAATAAAATCCTTTCTTAGCGGAATCCCTTATTTTATCCGCATGGGGGTTGAATTTATCAAAATCCTATTTAAGCGAACGTCTTCATTATAGTAGCTAAGAAGATTTATACAAACTTTCATCCCCTATTTTATCCCCTTGGGGGTAGAATTTATTAAAATCCTTTCTTAGCGGATGCCTACGTCATAACATCTACCTGCATGCCAAATTTCAGCCCGATCCGTCCAGTGGTTTGGGCTGTGCGTTGATAGATCGCTATGTCAGTCACCTTTGAGTTATATATATTTAGATATCGTATTAACATCCAGGTGGGATATTCTTCGCGAACCCAATGCGCAAGCAGGGCTACGTGACGATGCTGGACCCGCTGCAGGACTCGTTCGGCAGCCGCATGGGCGGCCTGCTGTTTCTGCCTGCACTCTGCGGCGAGGTGTTCTGGGCTGCTGGCATCCTTGCAGCACTTGGTGAGTTGACAATATTGTATTCTTCACTAAATCTGACAGAGAGGCAATTCAAATCTTATATTATACAATTTTTGTGTAAGAGAATGTGCTATTACAGGATTGACGAATTCATAGACGAGAACATATCAAGTAAATAATTAGATTATTAGCATATAACGTTATAATTTGTTTATCTCAAAGATTTCTTGATTCAATTATTTTATAAAATGTTTTCTTTGTGAAAAAGTGTATTATAAAATGAAGAATTTATAAATGATAATAATGTTTTTGTAGAAAATATCTAACTAAAATTCATAGCGCTGACAATGTGGTGGGCCGGGTCATTGAACAGAGATGGTCGAGCGCAGTGGTGGCTGGTTCATCCGTCATTCGTGAGTTTGTTGGACTGGTATTAAACTATGACTTAAAAAACCAGTTGTTTTATTGAATGTTTTTACTATTTTATTATTTCAAATTAGTGCTAATCGGTGGTTTGTATTCACACACTGTAAACTATTGTAAGTAAGCTTAAATTATTTAAAACTACGCATCACACAAGTTGTTGCTTGTTTTCTTGTGATGAGACAGCATTCAAATGAGGTAGATTAAAAAAAATAATGTTATGACTATTCAAAAGTGCTTCAATGTAAGTTTATTTGAATAAATGATTTTCTATTCTTCTATTCTATACCAGCGACCAATATCTGCTTTTACATGTACGCTCTTTCACGTGCAAAAGAATGTGCATGTAAATGTAGACAAATGGACCGAGTGCTAAACAGCTAGACTATCGAGGTCGTCAACGCCAGAAAAAAGATTCAAATGTCTATATCTTTGTAAAAAAGCTTATTATAAAATTGCAGAATTTATAAATGATAACAATGTTTTTTAAAATTTTTCACAAAAAAGCTTTCATAAAATTGAAGAATTAATCAAAATCCTTTTTTATAAAGTGTTTTATTTGTAAAAAAACTTATTATAAAATTGAAGAATTTATAAATGATAACAATGTTTTTTATAAAGTGTTTTCTTTGTAAAAACTATGTCATCAAGTTTGAGTTATATATATTTAATAATTTGTTTATAAAGTGTTTTCTTTGACAAAACCTTTTTATAAAATTGAAGAATTTATAAATGATAACAATGTTTTTTATAAAGTGTGTGTATTTGTAGCATCAAGCAGCTCTTTCTATGACCTATGTGAGAGTTTCAATAGGCTGTGAAACTACCAAGACAGTATGTAATTAGATTTCAGGCTCGGGCAGGTTGAATCTACATTAAGATTGCATGAACACCTAGATTATAGTAGTATATCACTGTGCCTACAGTCACAAATAAATGGCTCAGTGACCTCGGTAGTCTAGTGGTTGAGCACACAGCCTTACTACCAATAGTTGCGAGTTCGATTCCTCGCACAATACAAACTTTCATACTTAGGAGTATGATTTTTTATTGGTCTGGGTGTTTTCTATATATTAAACTATTATAGCTACTCGCCCCGGCTTCGGTCTGGTGTATATGTATTGTACATATAAACTTTCCTCTTGAATCACTCTATGTATTTAAAAGAAACCGCTTCAAAATCCGTTGGGTAGTTGTAAAGATTTAAGCATATATAGGGACGGCCAGACAGCGACAGCGACTTTGTTTTATACTATGTAATGATATGCATATAGTTTGTGATTAAGAAGAAATTACTCCGAGCAATTAAAGCGGTCATTTTACGGACAAAGTCAGAAGCTAATCTGATATTAATTATTGAGAGTGGTCACCGATTCATTGATTTTTCACGTAACTTCACTTAAGTTTTGAAATCATTGGATGTTTCTAAATTCAGCTACTTAACAGAATAGAATAGAATAGAAAATAATTTATTCAAATAAACTTAATTTAAGCACTTTTGAATAGTCATAACAATTTTTTTATCTACCACTAGTTCGGAAAGTTATCTCATCACAAGAAGGGCAAGAAACTTGTGTGTTGCTCTTTTAAATAATCCTTGTAAGTTCACATTTTACAAGTCGAAACGTGTGAATACAACCTACCAACCAGCACTAATTTATTTAGGCTCAGATATAAAAACACAATGAGATTAAATCAGTCGTAGTGATAAGAGCAGACCAGTCCCTGCCAAGCAGCAAAATATAAATGTATAAAAATGGTAAATTTGTCACGATGGGCTAATTGACCTGACTCATGTTCATCTTATCATCCTCCACTGGTGCCCCGCCAGCGTAAACCGTTAGCGCAGGCGGGTGCACCATTCCATTATCTACACGTATAAATAAGTTTGTACTATTGAAATAACCGTTTTTTACCACATGCATATGAATATAAATACGGTACATATACCAAAATAACATTTTTTTAAATTTTTGTCTGTCTGTCTGTCTGTTCCGGCTAATCTCTGAAATGGCTGGACCGATTTTGATGGGACTTTTATTGGCAAGGAGCTGATGTAATGAGGAGTAACTTAGGTTACTTTTATTTTAGAAAAATGAAGTTAAATTCCACGCGGACGAAGTCGCGCGTACAGCTAGTATTAAATAAAATTTAGAGGTTATGAAATTATAAAATTTTAAAAATTTGATCATCCTTTATTACTTACTTAGGGGTATGAAAAATTACGTCCTATTTTCAAACCTACTGAATATGCAAACAAAATTTAATACGAATCGGTCAAGTCGTTTCAGAAGAGATTTATTACGAACGCTGTGACGCGAGTTTTATATATTAGATGTACTTAGGTTTAATGAAACTCTACATTCAATTCGCAAGTACTTGGAGATCTTTTGATGCATAAATGAATAGCTTTTGGGATGTGGCTTTGTGGAAACTCGTTACAGAAATAAATTGTCACTGTATACACAGAGGGCCGCAGGATCCATTAAGCTAATGACTGATAAATTTATCAGACGTTTTGGGCGATTTTATCACTGGCATATATGGAATTAAAAATGTCGAGCCATTTTTAGAACGGGCTAATTCTCGCCGCTTTGCTCACGCGGCACATGGAATTAAAAATGTCGAGCCGTTTTTAGAACGGGCTAATTCTCGCCGTTTGCTCACGCGGCACATATGGAATTAAAAATGTCGAGCCGTTTTTAGAACGGGCTAATTCTCGCCGTTTGCTCACACGGCTCATATGGAATTAAAAATGTCGAGCCGTTTTTAGAACGGGCTAATTCTCGCCGCTTTACTCACGCGGTACATATGGAACTAAAAATGTCGAGCCGTTTTTAGAACGGGCTAATTCTCGCCACTTTACTCACGCGGTACATATGGGATTAAAAATGTCGAGCCGTTTTTAGAACGGGCTAATTCTCGCCACTTTACTCACGCGGTACATATGGGATTAAAAATGTCGAGCCGTTTTTAGAACGGGCTAATTCTCGCCGCTTTACTCACGCGGTACATATGGAATTAAAAATGTCGAGCCGTTTTTAGAACGGGCTAATTCTCGCCGCTTTGCTCACGCGGCACATGGAATTAAAAATGTCGAGCCGTTTTTAGAACGGGCTAATTCTCGCCGCTTTACTCACGCGGTACATATGGAATTAAAAATGTCGAGCCGTTTTTAGAACGGGCTAATTCTCGCCGCTTGCTCACGCGGTACATATGGAATTAAAAAAGTCGAGGCGTTTTTAGAACGGGCTAATTCTCGCCGCTTTGCTCACGCGGCACATGGAATTAAAAATGTCGAGCCGTTTTTAGAACGGGCTAATTCTCGCCGCTTTGCTCACGCGGCACATGGAATTAAAAATGTCGAGCCGTTTTTAGAACGGGCTAATTCTCGCCGCTTTACTCACGCGGTACATATGGAATTAAAAATGTCGAGCCGTTTTTAGAACGGGCTAATTCTCGCCGCTTGCTCACGCGGTACATATGGAATTAAAAAAGTCGAGGCGTTTTTAGAACGGGCTAATTCTCGCCGCTTTGCTCACGCGGCACATGGAATTAAAAATGTCGAGCCGTTTTTAGAACGGGATAATTCTCGCCGCTTTGCTCACGCGGCACATGGAATTAAAAATGTCGAGCCGCTTTTAGAACGGGCTAATTCTCGCCGTTTGCTCACGCGGCACATATGGAATTAAAAATGTCGAGACGTTTTTAGAAAGGGCTAATTCTCGCCGCTTTACTCACGCGGTACATATGGAACTAAAAATGTCGAGCCGTTTTTAGAACGGGCTAATTCTCGCTACATTGCTCACGCGGCATATATGGAATTAAAAATGTCGAGCCGTTTTTAGAACGGGCTAATTCTCGCCGCTTTGCTCACTCCAAACCGTTATGTCCTATTTTTACGGGGAGACAGCAGAAACGAGACTTAATTTCTTCTTTCACTTATATGTACTTTTCAGGATTATCTATTTATTTGTACTGATACAAATAATTGTACTCATGTTTGTACTGTATGAGGAATAAAACCCGTGATCATTGGTAGTAAAGCGGTGTGCTAAACCGGTAGACTATCGAGGTCGACAATGAGAGTAATCTATATATGTATATGTATAAAAAACTATGTTTTTTTATACATGTGTAGCTGTACCCGTGACTATATCAGCGTGGAATTTAACTTTATTTTTCTAAAATAAAAGTAGCCTAAGTTACTCCTTATTACATCAGCTACCTGCCAAAAAAAGTCCCGTCTGATCTATTTACAATACCTGATGATCTCGTACACGGCGAAACACATGTCGCTATATTGGTAGACTCAGTAACGGTCGGAATTTGATCACCAATAGAGAAGGTCGTATCGCTTCCAATAGTGATGTCAATTTTCCGCATAGAACATTTGTGGTCTCGGAAATAAACGAAAAAATCTTATTAATAATAATGATAATATATTTATTTCAAGAAAAGACACTTCACATGAGACACAACTTTACAAATATAGATCTTAACTTAACTTAACCTATGACAGTTAAACAAAGTGGTCAGTTGTGTTTATTTACACGGTCTCTGCACTAAGCATAGCTTGCATAGCTCGCAGGGGCCAGACTAGCTGACTACTATGAGTA